GAGAGGGAGTTGACTTCTTCCAGACCTTCTCCCCCACCCCGAAGATGACCACTCTTTGGGTGCTGCTGCACATAGCCGCTCAGCGCGACTACGAGCTTCACTCGCTTGACTTCAGCACTGCTTTCTTGCAGGGCAGCCTGCACGAGGAGATCTGGCTGCGCCGCCCTCCTGGCTTCACTGGGTCGGTTCCTCCTGGTACCCAGTGGAGGCTTCAGCGGCCGGTCTACGGTCTCCGCCAGGCACCACGTGAGTGGCACGACACACTGAGGACGACACTTGCGGCTCTTGGGTTCGCTCCCTCTACTGCTGACCCGTCACTGTTTCTACGCACAGACACCTCACTGCCGCCGTTCTACATCCTCGTGTACGTCGACGACTTGGTCTTTGCCACTGCTGACACCGCGGCACTCGCCCACGTGAAGTCGGAGCTGCAGAGGAGACACACGTGCACAGACCTGGGTGAACTGACAAGCTATCTTGGCTTGCGGATCACCCGGGACAGAGCACGGCGCACCATCACCTTGACTCAGTCACACATGGTGCAGCAGATCCTTCAGCGCTTCCGCTTCACGTACTCCTCGCCTCAGTCCACTCCTCTGCCTACCGGTCACTCGCTCTCAGCTCTGCCTTCGGATGAGTCCGTAGAGCCGAGTGGCCCGTATCCAGAGCTTGTGGGCTGCCTCATGTACCTGATGACCTGCACTCGACCTGACCTTGCATACCCTCTTAGCATCCTTGCGCGCTATGTCGCTCCTGGCCGTCACAGGAAGGAGCACATGGATGCCGCTAAGAGGGTGTTGCGCTACTTGTGCAGTACGTCGGGCATGGGGCTAGTGCTTGGAGGGCGAGACCGAGTTGTACTTACTGGACACTCAGACGCTTCTTGGGCGGACGACCAGGCTACTCAGCGGTCGTCTCAGGGTTACACCTTCAGCCTTGGCTCCGGCTCAGTTTCTTGGCGTTCTACACGCTCTTCTTCTGTTCTCAGCTCCAGTTGTGAGGCTGAGATCTACGCCACAGCCATGGCTGCCCAGGAGCTACGCTGGCTGACCTACCTGCTGACCGACTTGGGAGAGCGGCCTCGTTCTCCTCCAGTGCTGTACGTCGACAACCAGGCTGCCATTGCCTTGTGTGAGGAGCACAGACTGGAGCACAGAACGAAGCACATCGCCCTGCGGTACTTCCTTGCTCGAGAGCTGCAGCAGCGTGGTCAGCTTCGTCTGCGTTACGTGGCCACTGAGGCCAACCTTGCGGATGTGTTCACCAAGGCGCTTCAGCCTTGTGACCATCAGCGTTTCTGTACTCTTCTAGGCCTTGTGCCTGCTGGACCCCACTTGCTTACTTCTTGACTCTGCTTGTACTGTGATCACTATATATATATGCCTGCATGTTTACACTTGCTAGGTTGTTATCACTGTTTCTCTTGTTATATTATCAACCTGCATGTGAACTGGTCTTGTGACCACTTGCTTGTGCTCGGAATTTGTGTGGTATCCTTGAGATCCACCCTGAGCTTGTTTTGCTTTGCTTTGACTGGTCTTGTGACCCCTTGCTCTCCCCCACTTTGCCTATGGGGGTGTGTCAAACATTATATGTGTTGTGCTTGTTTAGGCTGCAGTGGGTTAGCCTATAGGGGGTACACAATTCTAGGGTTAGGTACTTGTACTCATTTCACTGCTAGTTCACTCATTCCTCGTTCAGTTATTTTGACACAAGGCGGAACTCGAACTCTAAAATCTTCCAAATTATGTGGATTGGAAAGGTTATAAGCTAGTGTTATTGTTAAATAAGAAGGCCTAATCTAGTGGAGTGGCAAGAATATGGTACTATCTGCATCTCTACAAACATAAGTAATGCGCTGGTCAGTTTGGTCGGTATGCGCGCCTGTAGTGCAGGTACCATGTACGACTAGGATGTCTATATCTGCCAAATTACATAGATCCGATTAGTTAAAACATAGTCGAGGGGTGGAGAATGGTATAATTTGAAGTAAATGGAAATACATATGGTATTCACTTTATTTGTATAGACAGAATAATGCGTCGGTCTGTTCGGGTCGTATGCACGCTTGTGTGTAGGTACAAGGCGGAACTCAAACTCTGAAATCTCCAAAATTATGTGGATCAGAAAGGTTATAAGCTAGTGTTGTTGAATTAGAGGGCCTAATATAGTGGACCCGCAATAATATGGTACTAGCTGCATCTCTACAAATATAAGTAATGCGCTGGTCGGTTTGGTCGGTATGCGCGCTTGTAGTGCAGGTACCATGTACGACTGGAATCTCCATATCTGCCAATTTACATAGATCCAATAGGTTAAAACATGGTAGGGGGATGGGGAATGGTATAATCTAAAGGAGATATGACTACATATGGTATTTGCTATTTTTGTACAGAGTGAATAATGCTTTGGTCGGTTAGGTCAGTATGCACGCTTGTGTCTAGGTACAAGGCGGAACTCAAACTCTAAAATCTCCCAAATTATGTGGATCGGAAAGGTTATAAGCTAGTGTTGTTGAAGTAGAAGGCCTAATCTAGTGGAATGGCAAGAATATGGTACTAACTGCATCTCTACAAACATAAGTAATGCGCTGGTCAGTTTGGTCAGCATGCGCGCATGTAATGCAGTACCATGTATGACTGGAATGTCTATATCTAACAAATTACATAGATCCGATAGGTTAAATCATGGCCGGGGGGTGGGGAATGTTATAATTTAAAGGAAATGGTACATATGGTATTCACTGTATTTGTACAGAGAGAATAATGCGTCGGTCGATTCGGGCCGTATGCACGCTTGTGTGCAGGTACAAGGCGGAACTCGTACTCTGAAATCTCCCAAATTATGTGGATCGGAAAGGTTATAAGCTAGTGTTGTTGAAGTAGAAGGCCTAATCTAGTGGACTGGCAAGAATATGGTACTAACTGCATCTCTACAAACATAAGTAATGCGCTGGTCAGTTTGGTTAGTACGCGCATATGTTGTGCATGTACCACGTACGACTGGAATGTCTTATGTTGTGCCAAATTACCTGGATCCGATAGGTTAAAACATGGTCGGCGGGTGGAATGATATAAATTAAACGAAATGGGAATATATATGGTATTCACTGTATTTGTTCAGAGAAAATGTTGCGTCAGTCGGTTCGGTCAGGATGCACGCTTGTGTGCAGGTACAAGGCGGAACCGGAACTCTCAAATCTCCTAAATTATGTGGATCGAAAAGTTATAAGCTAGTGTTGTTGAAGTAGAAGGCCTAATTTAGTGGACTGGCAAGAATATGGCACTAACTGCATCCCTACAAACATGAGTAATGCCCTAGTCAGTTTGGTCGGTATGCGCGCCTATAGTGCATGTACGATATATGACTGAAATCTCTATATCTGCCAAATTACATAGATCCGATAGGTTAAAACATGGTTGGAGGTGGGGATTTGTATAGTATAAATAAAATGGGAATGCTTATGGTATTCACTGTATCTGTACAGAGAGAATAATGTGTCGGTCGGTTCGGTCAGTATGCACGCTTGTGTGCAGGTACAAGGCGGAACTTGAACTCTCAAATGTACCAAATTATGTGGATTGGAAAGTTTATAAGCTAGTGTTCTTGAAGTAGAAATCATAATCTGGGATAAAAGTGCTTGTTTGTGTAGCGGGTGAGTGCGCCCATAACCCCTCAGACCGGCGCGCCTGTGGGGATCACCAGTGGACCTCTGACACCCCCCCGCACTGGGATGCCCGAGGTGCACGTACCGGGATTCGAACCCGAGACCTTCGCTCTGATACCATGTCAGAATAGTAGCTTAGCTAGAGTACCTTAGGAGCATCCGTAGAAGCCATAGTTAGGACTTAGAGCTAAGGAAGGAGATGATGAGAGAGTTTGGCCAAAGAAAAGAGGGATTTGCACAATGGAGGGACAAGTACAAATAGGCAAGAAAGGAGGTACCGTACACCACCTACAGCAATATATTACATACACTACAGTCTACACTGCATATAGTTATATTCGAACAACCATAGGTATTCCCATTTCCTTTAATTAGGGCACACAGGTGTGAGCACCGGTATATTAAACAAGCACCTTTATGGAGAGCAACCACATGCATACATGCGTACATAGCCCAGCAGTTGTCAGTCTAGCTAGCCTTACCATGTCGCAACACAAGTCTATACCAATCCAAGAGTGTTACGATCCTTAGTCACATGATTCATTCCAGCCGACCACGGCTGGCTCCATCTATTTGCATTGGTGCTGCTGGTCATGGGATTGTTGTGGTGGCAGTGAATAAAAAGCCCTTTTCAATTGAAAGCAAGCACATACAGCAAGCACATACACACACGGCAAGGGAGCCAGCCCAGCACTTGTCAGGCTAGACTGACCAATGATAGCCTGGCCTGGCTGGCTCCGTTTTTTTGCACTGGTGCTGGCTATGGGATTGTGGTGGCAGAAAACAAAAACTCCTCTTTATTGAAAGCAAGCACATACACACACAGCAAGGGATCCAGCCCAGCACATGTCAGGCTAAACTAACCAATGATAGCCTGGCTCCCTCTTTTTGCACTGGCGAGGGCCATGGGATTGTGTGGTGGCAGTGAAAAAAAAGCTCTTCTTTATTGAAAGCAAGCACATACACACACGGCAAGGGAGCCAGCCCATCACATGTCAGGCTAGACTGACCAACGATGATAGCCTGGCTCCCTCCTCCCCCATTCCCTCTGGCACTAGAAGATTCTCTACCCCACCTTTTTTCATCCTGCATCGATACTATTGACCCTGGTTGGATGGCTCTCTCCTGCTTTCGTGCTGATGGGCTCGGGCGTGGTAGTATGGTGGTGTTAGTGGTGGCGATGGTTGATGATTGTGACGATAGTAGTGGAAGTGATAGCGGTGGTGATGTTAGGAGCACTGTTTGTGTCGATGGCGCTGGTGATGCTGCCAGTCACTGCTACGGCTGCTGCTACAGCCACTGCAGCACCCAAAGGGTCCTGCTGCACCCGCTTTTAAACGTTCTGCAGCACGATAGCAAGCTCAGCGGCATTTGAAAAGCTCTGGGGCGTCTTGCAATTGGCCAGGCGTTTACAGTTTAGCAAACCCCCAGTGGCCCCACACGTGCACTGCGAACAGCGGTCCCCCGGCTTAGGCATGCCCTCTATCCCCGCCATGTAGAATTTCGGTCCCCAGCTGGGCCCTGCTGCGCCGCATATACCCTCTGTATGGTGAGGTGAGAGGGCAGAAGAAACACAACACAGGGAGATCAGGGAAGGAGAGGAAGAGGACGTGTTAAGCGCAATGCGAGCAGCGGTCCCCCTCCCCCGCTTGGGCATGCCCTCTATTCCCGCCATGTAGAATTTGGGTCCCCAGCTGGGCCCCGCTGCGCCGCATATGCCCTCTGCATGGGATGGGAGGTAGGATGGGAAAGGGAGAGGTGGTGAGAGCACTGGGAGAGCAGGTATCACTGGCAGCAGCGGTCCCTTGGGGCTTGGGCATGCCCTCTATTCCCGCCATGTAGAACTTGGGTCCCCAGCTGGGTCCTGCTACGCCGCAGATGCCCTCTGTGTGGATGGGAGTAGGGAAGGAGGGGAAAGTCAGAGTTGGTGAGAACACTGCGGAAGCAGGTAGCACTAGGAGAATCGGTCCCCTCGCTTGGGCATGCCCTCTATCCCCGCCATGTACAACTTGGGTCCCCAGCTGGGCCCCGCTGCTCCACAGATGCCCTCTGTGGATGGAAGGGAGAAGGAGGAGGCACAGGAGATCAAGTGAGGCGCACGAGGAGGTCAATAAGAGCACAGGCAGCATCTATCCCCTGGCTTGGGCATGCCCTCTATTCCCGCCATGTAGAACTTGGGTCCCCAGCTGGGCCCTGCTGCGCCGCAGATGCCCTCTGTGGATGGGAGTAGGGAAGGAGGGGAGAGGGAAGAAGCGGTGAGCACTGGCAGCAGCGGCAGCAACGGTCCGCCGGCTTGGGCATGCCCTCTATTCCTGCCATGTAGAAATTTGGTCCCCAGCCAGGCAGACCGCTTTTGAATCGACTCAAAAGCATGGAGGGGGGAAGGCAGGAGTGCGAACCACCATGGGACAAGGGAAAACGTGACTCATGGACGCCAGAGAAGACACACACGCCCTTGTCCCCAGGCAGACTCTTGTTGTCCTTTCAAAGGTATAGGCAATGGGCATGGCATGGGTTCGTAGGTACGGGTGTGTGGCAAATGATGTGCCTATAGGACTGAAGTGGTAACCATGTAACTTACGGATTCCAGAAAAGACGCACACGCCCTTGTCCACTGGCAGACCCTTTTTGTCCTTGTCGCCTCCTCCTATCTTGGTGATGACGCACCTGCCATAGGTAAGAGGGGCAGAGGGGCGGAATTGAATGAGAGGACAAGGGACGAGGAGGGGTTGAAGTGGGGATGGTGCAGGGGAGGATGTGAGGAGACGCAAGTGGTTGGTGCGGGGTTGACTTTTGAGTCGTTGAGTCGACTCAAAAGTCACCTCGTTACAATGGCACACGACGCTTTTTGAGTCGACTCAAATGTCATGAGGGAGTGGGGGGAGGGGGTGGGGTGAAGTGGGGAGGGAGCGCAGGGGAGGAGTGAGGAGCGTAAATGGTTGGTGCAAGAAAACGGTGGTGATGCAGGATTTGAGGCGTGTCAAGAGGTAATGGTGCAGAATGTGTAGCAGGGAGCATTGAGAGAGAGGGAGCACAGGAGCACAGGGAAAACAGGAGAGCAGGAGAGCGAGGATAGATGAGGATGCAGTGTGATGGGGTGGAGATGCGATGCGATGGGGATGACACGTAATGAGGTGCGTCACCAAGGGGGGTTGGATCTGATCCGATTTGATCCGATCTGATTGCGTACATGTTTTGCTCTTCCGGGCAGCGAAACTTTCCCACGGGCTGCCCGTTGTAGTCGACGTAGCAGGCAGGCAGCGTTGAGCAGGAGCAGACTGCCCGGTTGGGACCAGGCATTTTCCTCCGGTAGGTGCAGTCACACGTCTTGCAGAGCGCGTTTCCCTCTATGCCCTTGGTGCCGACTGCATATGGCGTGCCGCCATAGCGACAGAAAGAACCCCCTGGTGGTGGGAGAAGCGAGAGAACACAGTGGGAGACAGGATGGGAGATCGAGAGAGAGAGAGGAGGGAAGGGGAATGAGGGGGACTAGCAGAGTGCGTTGCAGGAGCAGACTGTCCGGTTGGGGCCAGGCATTTTCCTCCGGTAGGTGCAGTCACACGTCTTGCATAGCGCGTTGCCCTCTATGCCCTTGGTGCCCACCGCATATGGCGTGCCAGCATAGCGACAGAAGAAACCCCCTGGTGGTAGGAGGGGAACAGGAGGTGGTGGGAGGGAGAGGTGAGGAGAGAGTGGGCAGTAGGTGCAGACCCCCTGGTTAGGTCCGGGCATTTTCCTCCTGTAGGTGCAATCACACGTCTTGCAGAGCGCGTTGCCTCTATGCCCTTGGTGCCGACTGCATACGGTGTACCAGCATAGCGACAGAAAGAACCTCCTGGTGGTGGTGGGAGGGGGGATGGGAGGGGACTGGGGGGGTAGAGGAGGGTGGAGAGGAGGGAAGGAAGTGAGACGTCTTGCAGAAGGAACGTTGCCGGGAGGCGGGGGAGAGGAGATGGGGATGTGGAGAGACAGTGAGGTGTCTTGCAGAAGGAGTGCTGCCGTGCGCGCCCCTGGTGCCCGCCGCGCATGGCGTGCCAGCATAGCGACAGAAGGAGCCTCCTGGTGGTGAAAGGCGACGGGGAAAGGGGAGTGCAGGCGGGGAAGACGACGACAGCACGTACTGGTGAAGGTGGAAGTGCAGCGGCCAACGTACTTCGTTTCTAACGGCGCCTTAAAAACAGCATGTACGGGTAGCGAGCGAGAGAGGGGAAGGCTAGCGGTAGGGGAAGGGTGGGGCAGCTCGTACTGGTGATTGTGGAAGTGCAGCGGCCGACGTACTGCGTTTCTAACGGCGCGCAGGCAAGGGAAGGTGGAGAGCAAGAGGGGGTAAGGGGAGGGCGGGTGGGGGAAGGGGGGGAGCGGCGCGTACTGGTGAAGGTGGAGTTGCAGCGGCCGACGTACTTGGCTTGCAAAGGGGAGGGTGAGTGGTGGGGGAAGGGCGGAGAGCAAGCGGGGGAAGGGAAAGGCGCGTACTGGTGTAGGTGGAGTTGCAGCGGCCGACGTACTTGGCTTGTGGTGCTGAGGGCACCTGAGTCACCACGCAACTGCGAAGAGACGCGCGGGGAGGAACGGGGGGAGAGGGGGAAGAAGAGCGGCGGAGAGACAAGCATGCTTAGGGAGCAAGCAAGCGCGGAGTCACTAGCGTCCCTTCCCGCGAGTCTTTTCACGCAGAATAAAAATTGCTCGCGCGACGAGAAGCAGAGCGGAAGGAAGGGGGACGAAGCGGAAGGAAGTGAGACGGAGCGCGACGGAGCAGAATGTAGCGACGACCTGTCTGCGTGGATTGCGGCAGACGGGAACGGGGTAGAGCCGACAGCCGACTCCCTTGCGCCCTGACACGCGTGCGCATTCATTTGCGCCCAATTGAAGGCGCGCATTCACTTGCAACCAGTCGCGGGCGCGCATTCGCTTGCGCTCAGTTAGGCGCGCGTACTCACTTGCGCTTGTTGCCGCGGCAGAAGGGGTAGACGGGCCGCCGCGCGCTGTCGAGGTAACACGTTGCGCCGTCTGGGAGCGACGCGGACCCCGATGACGCGATTGCGTGGCCACCTAGAGATGCACGGGGGAAATGGGGTGAAAACCGGGGGAGCTTTTGAGTCGACTCAAGGGAACCCGATGACGCGATGGCGTGGGCGCCTGGGGATGCACGAGGTGGCGGGCGGAACAGGAGCGCGACGGTGGCAAAGGCGGGCGGAATAGGAGCGCGATGGGGGGGGAAAGGGGAAAATTGGGGGAGCTTTTGAGTCGACTCAAGAGGACCCCGACGAGGCGATGGCGTGGGCACTTGGGGATGCACGAGGAGGCGCATAGGAGCGCGATGGGGCGAAAAGGGAAAAAAAAAAGGGGGGAATGAGGGAGGGAATGGGAAAGTGTTGCGTGGGGGTAGAGGGGCATTGAGGGGATTTCGTGCGAGCGCTGGTGACGTTCCGCGCATGCAGCAGGCGCGGGGAGCGGCGGAAAATTCGTGCGCGAGGCACATGTAGACGGGAATGCGCGGGGAGGCGCGCACCTGAGCTAGCGGGGGCGGGGCGAGGCGCACCTGTGCGAACGGGTGAGGCGCGCACCTTAGCGAGCGGGGACGCGCGCACCTGAGCGAGCGGGCGAGAAGCGCACCTGAGAATGCGGCGAGGAGGACTAGAACGGGTAGTAGCAGCCGGGTCATGGCTGCGGTGGGAGGAAGTCGCGCAACGTGCAGTGGTCTCGGGGGGCGCGAGACGAGGCGCGAGACGAGACGCGAGAAGAGACGCGAGGTGGCCTTGCGAGGCGATGACACCCAGTGGGTGCTTGCTCTGGTCGATGCTGGCTCGGCAAGACGATCTGCTTTTGATCGAATGCTGCACCTAATGAGAAATGCGCTTTTGAAGTGGAAGCTGTTTCGTTAATCCAAAAAGCTACTTTCTGCTCGACAAGAACAGTAGCGGGGAGAAATGATCGCGGCGTGCTTACGCTGCCAGCGTGGGGTTCGAGACGCTAGTAGTGGACGGGTCGCATGAATCAGGGTTTCGCGAATGTCGGACGGAAACTATCACACAACGGGGGTTGACGACTTGACGTGGACGGGAAACTTATCGTGCGGTTGGGGTTGGGTTGTTGGTTGGGTTACTGCAGGGTAGGGTGATTGCACGGATGGTAGGGTAGGACGCTAATAACGACGACGGGAAGAAACGAAATGTGGGCGCAACGCGGCTAGGCTGAATGGTGTGGTTTGGATGACGGCGAGATGCGAGAAAAGGCAGGGGAAGGTGGAACTGCTTTTCAGCACAAAACTCAAGTTGATGGAATGTTTGGGCGTCACGTTCAAGGGGTGGTTGGTTGGGCTCGTCATGAAGTGGGGCAGCCGAATTGTCCGACGGCTGGGATGGAAAGCGAAGAGAGATGGGATGGGAAGGGAAACACCCGTTGGGCGACAAGAAACGGCGGCGACAAACACGGTTCGAATGCGGAAAGTTATACGTGTACAGTGTTCACTATTTCGAAGAAGCCCGTTGGAAGTGAAGTGCAGCACCAACAATTTGTGGTTCGTGACGTGACTCCCTGACCGGTCTGGTCCGCTTGTCGAATTGGAAAAATTTGGGACTAGCGAGCGACGGCGAATTTGCTCGCAATGAGGTAGTTGGGTGGGTTGGTAGTGGTGCTTCAACGACTAAAATGAAATTCGCGCCTGCGAAATGGACTGATTGAAATTGTCGCACGAAGCGATTCGGAATGAAATGTTTCCGCCGTCGGCCCGCGAGTGTAATTGTCGGTGATTCGCTCTGAAAGACTGTTTGGGGAGAAGTGGACATGAAACCGTCGACAGGGAAATTCGCACCGCAAAAACGCCTTTTACAAGGAGACTCGTGTTTTGAGAAACAAGATAACTACTTCCGCATAATGACCATAGCAGCTTCGGGTTATTTCTAGTAAGTTATCCTGAATAAAAAATTAGACTTCTTAGAAATTCTAAATATAATGTTGATATTGTCTAATTATTCTAAAATTTAGTAATTATTCATACTTCCAAATATTAAGCCACTACTAAAGGGGGTACGGGTACGTCTAAAAGTAGGTATTACAGTCTTCTTATAACGAATCACTGCTTTGGCGTCAGGCATCGCTGCAACACAGCCTCCAGGAAAATGTCATTTCCTCAGCGGACCGCAATCTCCGAAACGGTACGGTAAGTGATGTTTTTATGGGGTAGGGAACCCTCGGAGCCGCGGGAAATTTACGTTAAGAAAGTAGGGTGGAAACATGAAAAACGACCAGTAGCTCCCCACCCAGAGTTCGGAATGCACCTCAGCTGATGTGGAGAGCACCCGACCGTGCGAACCATTAGACAGCAATTGTAAGTGCTAGGGTCACCTCTCCTAGAGTGTGGAAGAGCTTCTTTCAAATACTCAAAGTGGTGATCTGGTATCACAAGGAATGTTAGATCAATGTCTCGATTTAGGGGTGTAAAGAAACGGCAAACTGCACACCCTCGAAACCTTCTCGCGTCTCGAGATCTGTTTTGCATCTCTTTTGTCATTGGTCGGCGCGAATGCTGTTGCCAATGCCAAGGTGTCCCCCACGGGGCATGTCACACGCGCCCCCGTGAGATTCCTTTCCGTGCTGGACTCCTCTTCCCTCCTGTACGTACTGTACACCTATCCCTCCCTCCCTACCTCACCCCACCCTCCCTCAGGACGCGTCACAAGTAGAATACCGAGGAAGGATCGGGGTGTTCACCGAACCTGCCAAACCGATCGCCATATCGGTGTGTCACGACTGCTTTGAAGTTTCAAGTGACACGATCGTAAAAACATGGGGCAAAATTGCCCGATGTGGACGAAATTGCACGATCGATGTGTGACAAGGGCACATCGATCGCCTGACTTCGAAGAAACAACTGTACGTTAACGAAAATAAACGAAACCATGTAACCACCTAAACACCGATTCTAGGCAGGATCAATGTTTTACTTGTGACGCGTCCTCAATTTCTGCCTCCCTTCACGCCGCGCCTATCCGTTCCCCCCCGGCTCCCCTCCTCCCCTGCTCTGCCTATGACCCCAGGCAAGTTATATTTCAAGAATCTATTTCTGGCTTGCTTGCGAAGCTCACATGATTTCCAGCTGATGTCCCGTCAAACACGCTTTTTTCTCAACATAAACCTCGCACTATTTATCGTCCACTGAAGCGTAGTGTGTGCGGTTGCTTCCGCTTTTCAGCTCTGAAAGTCCACGGAATCCCGTGCACTGACGTCCCTTCAGGCTTTTTTAGGACGCGCCTTTACAAAAGTGATTGACCAAGCGAAGAGCTTTTGTTTTAGATACTCGGGCTTGGCGCAAATGGCGGCTGCGCCGTCTATACGCGGTTTTAGGATGAACAGACGGCTTTCAACAATCATGTTGCTTGCAGCCGCCGTTTTTATCGTCTCGCGAATATCGGCTGTCTCGGCACAATGTACAAATCAATACCATTTTCCATACTATGCTATACAATCACTTTCGACGAGTCCATCATATTTTTCTCGCTCGATTTTATCTCAAAAGCTAGAAGCGTTTCCGTGTTATTCGGTTTGAGCGAAACAATGAGGATCTAGCGCAGGCTTCAGTTGCTTGTTACGCTTCGTTCAGCATGGATCCGATGGTTCTCGAGTCTGCGCTAGACTTTAAAGAGAGAAGCGTTGAGCTCGAAAGATGAATTAAACGCGTTAATCTCGCGGTGTGACAGTATATTCGAAGTTTCTACAGTATATTTTTCTTCTACAACATATTCCCTCCCGCTTTCAACAATCTCCCTTCTCCCGTCTTTCGCCGGAAAGCTCTTCCAGGCTTAGAACTCGTTTTGTTGTTTCCTTTACCAGCCCCCCCCCCCCCCCCCCCCCCCCCCCCTCCCCCACGCCCCCTCCCTTTTTTTTGAACTATAAACTTTGACTCGGTTTCTGATTTCTTTTACCTGCTCCACTCCCAGGGTACAACCCTTTCCCCTCTGGCTCGACCCAATAGCCCTTCCTGGTGCTAATAGCTCGCTTTCTCGTTCCTAATGCGAACACCACTCCCAGCGTACGACCCTTGTGCGGATAGTACCACTTGTGGCAACGGCACGTGTAGCTGGGACGGTATGTTCACGTGGACGTGCTCGTGCTATAGCGGGTATGAGCCCGTCAGCGCCTCCTTCAACTTGACTGCTGGGATAACCATCTCCGGGCAGTCGTGTGTATGTAAGTTATTGCAGATGAGACAGTGACTGTACTGAAGCGCGCGCATGCTATAGCGGGTACGACGCTGTCACTACCTCGTTCGACATGTCTGGCAGTACGCTCTCCTCTCCTCTCCTCCTCGCCTCTCCTCCTCTCCTGTCATCCTTCTCACGTGCGTCTACCTCTCATCTTCCCTCTCCATTCAAACCCCCCCACGCAATCTCTTTTCTTCAACCAATGTCTTTCCTCATTTCTCACCCCTTTTCCGTCCTCCCTTGCCCTCTACCTCCCCACCGGCATTCCCCCGTTCCCCTCCCTTTTCCCCCTCTGTCCCCCAGCTTCAAGCTCCCCATCCTACTCCTCCCCATCCTACTCCTCCCCATCCTACGGCTCCCCCTCTTACTCCTCCCCCGATTACTCCTCCCCTTCCTACTCCTCCCCCTCCTACTACTCCTCCCCCGCCCCTCCTTCCACCAACACAACCTCCTCCTCCTCTTCCAAGGGCCTCTCAACGGGAGCAATCATAGGCATAGTGGTGGGAGTGATTCTGCTGCTGCTGCTGCTTGGGGGAGTCGGTCTATTCCTCTGGTTCAGGCACAAGAACAAGGCCAGTGGTGGGGCCAATAAGCCTGGCCAGGCGTATGGTGGCGCTGTGAGTGGAACTGCGGCAGTAGGGGCTGACTTAGAGGCGAATAAGGGGTATGCGAATCCGTACTATGCGGGTGGGGGGAGCGGCGGGGGGAGTGGAGTGGGGAGCGGGGGATGGGGCGGAGGGGGAGGGGGGAGCGGGGGGAACGGCATGGCGGCTCCAGGGGCAGGGGGATACGGGGGATCAGGAGGAGCGGGAGGGGCAGGGGCGGCAGCGTATGGGGCGGCAGCAGCAAGGGGGGCGTACGGGGCAGCAGCACCAGGGGGGGCGTATGGGTCAGCAGCACCAGGGGGGGCGTATGGGGCAGCAGCACCAGGGGGGGCGTATGGGTCAGCAGGGGCAGGGCCTCAGGCGGGGATGGGGTCTGGTTCCGGGTCTGGGAACGTCATTCACCCCATGTACATGGGAAGTGAGTATGCTTCATCCCTCTGTGACACGCCCCGTGCCCAATGACCCATGCCCCATGCCTCATGCTCAATGCCCCATGCCCCATGCCTCATGCTCAATACCCCATGCCCCATGCCTCATGCTCAATGCCCCATGCCTCATGCCCCATTCCCCATGCCCCATGGCTCCGACATTATGGCCCATGACTCAAGAACCATGACCCGCATTCCCTTCTCTTCTCCCATCTGCATTCCATGCGGCGATCTGCTGCTCTTATTTGAGTCGACTAAAAAATACATTCCATGCGGCAAATTGCTTATCTCGAACCATTACATTGTCGAATCATCACTCTGTTAAGTTGCCTCGGGTGATCCGTCCGCTCATATTAACCTTTTCCACGTCACACCTCCTCGCGTCCGTCCAGGTGGCATGTACCAGCAGCAGCCACATCAGCACGCCAACGTGGCACCGCAGCATCCGCCCCAGCAGCAAGCAGCAGCCGTTCAATCACCTCCGTCTGTCTGCCAGCAATTCGCCCTTGCTGACCTGGCGCGAGCCACGGGTGACTGGGCGGAGAGCAACCGGATTGGCAGTGGCAGCTTTGGTGACGTGTACAGGGGCGTGAGTCCCTTCGACCCCAGCATTGTGTGGGCTGTGAAGCGAGCTCGCGTGCTCACCAAGGACTTCCAGCGAGAGGTATGCACACTGCACCCAGCAGCACCGCACTGCACCCAGTTTTGAGATGTCTCAACACCTGACGTGTACAGGGCCGTCAGTCCCTTCGATCCCTCTGTGCTGTGGGCCGTGAAAAGGGCTCGAGTTCTGACCAAGGACTTTCAACGAGAGGTGAGGGGCACAGTACCCAGCAGCACCGCACTGCACTCAGGAGCACCGCACTTGACATGTCAGGGCCATCAGTTCCGTCCCTTCGACCCCTCTGTGCTGTGGGCCGTGAAGAGAGCTCGAGTTCCCACAAAGGATTTCCAGCGAGAGGTGAGATCTCTGCACCCAGCAGCACCGCACATGCAACCAGCAGCACCGCACACACGCTGGCATGACGTGTACAGGGCTGTCAATCCCATGATCCCTCTGTGCTGTGGGCCGTAAAGCGAGCTCGAGTCCTCTCCATGGACTTTCAGAGAGAGGTGAAACTCTTTAACAAGTTGCTCATGTACTCTCGAGTTTCAAAGAGCAACTCTTCACCCACCAGCACCGCATTTGCAACCAGCAGCACCGCATGTGCGCATTGCTTGAAGTGGGTAAGAGAGGGCCTGCAGCAGCAGCTGCCCAATCCCTGTGTCTCCCAGTCGCTCTCCGCACTCCCACAAATTCCCTACCCATCCTCCAATGATTCGCCGACCTTTCAACGTCTCCAAATTGCTATCCCACCCCAGGTGGCAGTGATCGCGACAAAGCATCACCCCAACCTCGTCCGCCTACTGGGCTAGTGCATGGACATGAACCCAGCAGCACCGCACTGCATCCCTTCTCCCCTTTCCTCCCCTTCCCAACCCTCTTCAGGTGGCAGCCATGGCAACAAAGCACCACCCCAGCCTGGTCCGCCTACTCGGCTACTGCATCGACATGCACCCAGCAGCACCGCACTCCACTCCCGGCGACCTGAGCATGGAGCAGATCGTGGTGTACGAGTTCATGCCTCACGGGGACCTGCGGCGCTGGGTGGGGGAGGGGGCGCCACAGCCTCTTCCAATCTCTTTCATTCCCCGCTTTCCCCCTTCCACCTTTCTGCTGCTCTCCTTTCTCCTGTCCTCGTTTTCTCCAGGTAGCAGCGATGGCAACAAAGCATCATCCCAACCTGGTCCGCCTACTGGGCTACTGCATCGACATGAACCCAGCAGCGCAGGGCAGGGGCGATTTGAGCATGGAGCAGATAGTGGTGTACGAATTCATGGCTCGTGGGGACCTGGAGCGCTGGGTGGGGGAGGGGGCGCCACAGCCGCTGCCGGTGGCGCAGCGGCTCTCGGTGCTCATCGGGGCGGCCCATGGCATCGAGTATCTGCACAGCTTTGGCATCGTGCACCGGGACATCAAGCCTGCAAATATCCTTCTAGACGACAAGTTTGAGGTGAGCTTGGCTGATCTGCATAGTGCCTTTCCCTGTAAGCACCTCCCCCTCCTCCCCATGGCATCGAGTATCTGCACAGCTTTGGCATCGTGCATCGCGACATCAAGCCTGCTAGTATCCTCCTTGACGACAAGTTTGAGGTGAGCCCTTCCTTCCAGGTCAGCACCTGTCTGTCTCTCTGACATTCCCCGGTGTCTACTGAGGCAATACGAGGGCACGGCGGTGGGAGACACTCGCATCATGGGCATGCCCTTGCCCTTCCCCTTTGTTCCTCTCATTCGCCTCACATCCCCTTTCGCTGACACCTTCCACCCTTATCCCCACCAGGCGAAAGTAGCAGACTTTGGGTTGCTGAGGCAGAACGAGGGCACAACGGTGGGAGACACTCGCATCATGGGCACACCCGGTTATGTGGACCCTGCTTACTTCAAGTCCAACAAGGCCACCCCCATGGCCGATGTGTACAGGTACGGAGTGGTGCAGGGGTATAGTGAGCGGTGCAGTGCGGTGCAAGCCGGTGCTGTGTTGTCAGGGGGTGCATGGGATGGGAGTGATGGGCACATCGGGCTATGTGGACGCCGCACTCCAATGGCCGATGTGTACAGGTACGAAGCGGTGCAATGCTATACAGAGTGATAAAAAGGTATTGTACTATAAGGGAGTGCAGGGGAGTGATGGCCACACCGGGCTATGTGGACCCCGCTTCCTTCAAGTCCAGCAAGGACCACCCCATAGCTGGGCTGGTTCCGTTGCTAATCAACTGACCTGGCCCTCCGAGTTTGGCATTCTCAATCATCTCCACTCCTTCCAGCTCTCCACTCCTTCCCATACCTTCCCACCCCTCAGCTTTGGCATCCTCATTCTGACCACGATGCCGGGCCGCAACACTCTCTGGGGGAAGGTTTTTTACCTGACCTTACCGCTCTCCACTCCATTCCACTCCTCCCCACCCCTCAGCTTTGGCATCCTCATTCTGACCACGATGTCGGGCCGCAATGCACTTGCGACGGATGAGAACGGCAACAGCTTCAACGTCAAGAAATGGGTGAGTTAGCAATCTCAGCGACGTGACTTTTTGAAGCGCCTACCAAGCTGCGGCGCACTTGCGGCGGATGAACAAGGCAACAATTTCAACGTCAAGAAATGGGTGAGTTGACCTTTTCAACGTCATGAAATGGGTGAGTTGACCTTTTCAACGTCAAGAAATGGGTGAGTTGACCTTTTCAACGTCATGAAATGGGTGAGTTGACCTTTTCCACGTCATGAAATGGGTGAGTTGACCTTTTCAACGTCATGAAATGGGTGAGTTGACCTTTTCAACGTCATGAAATGGGTGAGTTGACCTTTTCAACGTCATGAAATGGGTGAGTTGACCTTTTCAACGTCATGAAATGGGTGAGTTGACCTTTTCAACGTCAAGAAATGGGTGAGTTGACCTTTTCAACGTCTTGAAATGGGTGAGTTGACCTTTTCCACGTCATGAAATGGGTGAGTTGACCTTTTCAACGTCATGAAATGGGTGAGTTGACCTTTTCAACGTCATGAAATGGGTGAGTTGACCTTTTCAACGTCATGAAATGGGTGAGTTGACCTTTTCAACGTCATGAAATGGGTGAGTTGACCTTTTCAAAAGGTTTCTGTGGCACACTTGGAGACAGCAGGGGTTCTGGATGGCAGGGGATGAAGGGGTTTTGGTGTAGTAATGGGACAGCAGCCACCATTTAACCTCTCTGCTTCCTCCATTGCTATGTGCTTATTGGAATGCAATCTATATTCCTCCCCCTCATCCCCTTGTCGAGATAGCTAGGCAAGGTTGGTTGCATTGACGAGAGAGATTGGTACAAGAAACACAACCCTAAAGTGTTATCCCCTATAACATCTACCCCACTACAGCCTACCAATATATATCACACATATATATCATTTGACACACCCCTTGCCTCCGTCCGCTCTCCCCCACTCTCCCTCCCCTCCCATCCCCTCCCTCCCCCTCCCCCCCCCCCCACCCGTGTGAACCCTTCCACATCCAGGCCGAGTCATTAGTTGCGGCCGGCAAAGCGGAGGAATTGAAAGATCCGCGATTGGATGCTCCCGCGGATTTGATTCTGCGGCTGGCGCAGCTGGCGCTGCGTTGCACGGCTATGCCGACCGTGACTCGTCCTGACATGATCCAGGTGGTATCTGAGCTCACGGCGCTCAGGAAGGAATTTCTGGGGAAGGTGTCATCTAGGATGGCTGAGAGGATTGACGAGGAGGTGGAGTCCCAAAGAGTTGGGAATTTTGATGCGGAAATAGAGATGATCGAAAAGCTGGCGTTTCAGGATAGCACGAGTGCAATGAGCATTAGCTAAGGAATTGGAATGAAGCAATGCATACCTTTTCCAGTTTATTGATTCCAGAGGCCATGCTTGCTGCTGTGGTATAGAGTATGTTGCATGGACCGTTCTTTTCAAGCTCTTGGCAAGTGATTGCTTTAATGCTGGTGTTGGTGACCAAGAAAATTGTCTATGGTTCTCGAGTGGTGGATAGTTTGGGCTCGGTGCATCTGATTGTAATGGAGACGTCGATTGCAAGGCCGATTTGCTGACTGTGAACGTCTATTTGGTGACTGGAGCTATGATGTCAACTTAGTCAACCTAGTCCAGGCTCATATATTTTTCTCCTTTACTTCCGTACGAAACACTTAGACGAAGGATAGCAACACGTCCCCGGTAACGGGTGTTTTCACACTACTTAACAAAGCGGAATACAAATCGTTTTTTTTTTCACGCCAACCATCACACGTAGTTCACGGTCACGGGGCAATAACGTTGTGGGGAACGAGTCGCATGTAAAATCTCGGGGTTCTCAGACGTTTTATGCACCATCACACTGTTACGAGACGCAGGTGATAATAATTGCCGAATCGCGTGGTGTGGATGACCTCACACCCACTCCGTAGTGCTGTTACTGGGCAGTATTGAGGCCACACTGTCATTGGTGGTTGCAAGCTCTCACACGGCTGGCGACGTCGCACGCTTCTACCCTTCAATCGGCAGTCGCGTGGACCATGCGTCAACTCTTCCCTCAACGTTGTCAGCCTCCAGGCCACGTCCGTGCGCCAATACCTCCTCGTTTTGGAGCCAAAAAGTGATCGTCACCGTCAGCACCGATAATGCGCGCGCCTCGATCATTCATGTAAGCCGTCCACACGGAGAGCCAATTGAAATGCGCCGTGAATTGCGCAAGAAAGATCGTTCGTGGAATTTCCTTGGGAGGTGCGCAAGCGTTTTCGCACCCTTTGCCCGTACGGCAGGCACACAATTATTCCCGCATCGCAGATTGCGCCCGGATTTTGCACCCCCTGGGAAAACATTCGGCGCAACAGCGCACCCAGTCAACCCCACTAGCACAAGTGACCATTTTTCTCCGCTTCGCAGGTGAGCGACCCCCACCACCCCAACCAGTCACTCTGAAGCGAAAACTGGCGACAAATTATCTTTCCCCCTCGTCGTCGTCACACCTCCTTTACAAATTGCACCCCCGCACCGTCAGGCAAACTGTCCAGCTGTCGGTTTGAATTCGCAATACTTTTCGCCCGTGCTTGTCGCGGGTGTTTGAAAGAAAAAGAGAGCGGTGGTGGACGGTCGACTCCATCTTCGCCTACGTTCCGCACACCCAGCGTTTGCAGCGCGATATCGCGTGCGCGACTACTGTACCCGGCCCCCCTGACACCAACGATCACCAACAGAAAGATTTCGAGGCGCACATGACGCTCACGCGCGTTTTCTCCCACCCTCCCTCGCGCGCGACAGCGTTTGTGGGTGGGTGGGACGGTGGGTGGGGACCGTCCGTCAATCGATCACAGTGCACAGTCGCACCACACCAACCAGCACTGGGGAGGGGAATCGAGACGAGAAACGGTGGCTTGGTCGTTTGTTCCCCTGATTCCTGCACCAGCCGCCTCTTTCCAGCACAATTTCACACGGCACAGCCCGGTGTAGCATAAAGCGCAGGCCGCTTCCCCATTCTCGAGGACAACTGAAACTTTGCTTCCAATTCTTCACCTACCAACTTTTTCTGCTCTCTGAGCACAACTTTCACGCACCAAGCAAACTCACTAGCAACGAAGTAACGCTCTATCTAGTTCGGCCTCCTAGCTAACATCAGAGCCGTTCGAGTCACTGGATCGTAGTCGTAAGGTCGTCCTACATTTAAAGTTTTATTTTCCCGTAGCTCACGACGTTCAGTATGGCTGCTCCCAACTTCCGAAGCGCCTCGGTTTCCGCTCCCCAGACCCGCGAGGTCTCCCCTCCGCCTTCTAGGATGGGCGCACCTTGCGCTCCCCCCTTGCGCCAGAACTCGCTCGACAGTTTCCGCGCCAGGGTCAAGCCGCTCGTGATCGCGCGCCCCGCCACTGCTGACGAGGCGCCTGGCGAGCGTCATCCGCTGGAAATCTGGGAGATTAACTACGACGAGATTTTTCCCAACTCCGCGCGCCTCGCGAAGCAGTTCGCCGAAAAGTCACTCGTTTTGTCCAGCCCGCCTGTGTCCAGCGCCGCATCATCCGCCGCACCACCCGCCGTGCCATCCGCCGCAACTTCTGCCGCGATTTGCGCTTCTGCTGCGCGGATAGCGCCCCAGCAGTTCACTCCCCGCGATCGCGTTTCTGAGGCGCTCCCCGCGCTTTCACCCGACGTCGAGAACTCGAGCCCGCTTTCCGAACTCGCATCTCCCCAATCGCCCCCCACCATTTCCATCCCCGCGCGTGCGGCCGGCGATTTCACATCCCCTCCATCGTTCCCCCAACTCCGCGCGCGCATGCTCGGTTGCAAGCTCGGCACGCCGTGCGTCGTGGCGCTAGCGCGCACGCCCGGCGATCCCGGCGCGTGGGACGCCGACGACGAGGAGTACGAATCGGAAGAGAGCACTCGGCGAAGGTTCCGCCGCTCCGGTAGCACCGGCGGAAGCCGCCACTGGGTCGGTGATAAGTTGGGGGCATGCGGGGAAGGTGGAAACCGCAAAGAGCGCGCGCGGGGCCCGTCTCCGCTCTCCGGGCGTGTTGCGGCGGGGAGTGGCGTGGGAGAGGCAAGCGGGAGTCCACAGAGGCAGCAGCACGGTACGGGGAGGGTACTCGTTAAACGGAGCTCCGATCCCGTTATGAGGAGTCCGCGAGAAGTGCCGTATCATGGATCCCGGCTGCAGCAGGTTCGGGATGCCGAACCTGAGACTCGGCACCGCCTGGCTCGGACAAGCAGTAGAGGCTCGGAAACATCGGCGCGCAGCACCTCCGCTGGCCGTCGACGGCGGTCGTGCGGACGGTTTGGCGAGTCCCGAAGCGTAGGTTCGGAGAAGGTTCGCATGACGGTGCAGTTTTACTCTGACCTTCTCGATCCGTGCGCGATTGGCGCGCTCGCTGCGCCTTGCGCCACTGCCGCGAGCTCCGCGCGGCGTGAGCATATGTCCCCCATCCGCGGAACCCAGAGCGGAGGAGAGGGGGAAGGGAGGCGCCGCGCGGGCGGAAATAGCGGAGGAAGTAGTTGCCGCGCGACTGGCGGAAGCGTGCAGAGCCCTCTTTGCGGAAGGGGCTCCCGCGGAGGGGTTGTGCGAGGGGGGTTGGCTGCGGCGGCAACTGCGGCTGCTGCTGCGACTGGCCCCTGTCGCGTGGTGTCGCTGTGCTGAAGGGGAAACCAATATCCGCGTTTGAAGTTACAACCCATCATCATATTCATTCATTTTTTCGAGTTGCAGCCATTCTGTAACTCGTGAAGACTTTCACCTAGGGCTCCTACCTACACATCTGTACAGCACCGTTAGGAAGCACTCCTATACATTGTATAGAGTTGCTAACTAGGTGGTAGATTGTAGATAGCAGTAAGTTCATAGTACGGTACCATGTGCACTTTCCCCTGTCTTAGTGAGACGTGCATTCTCTATTTTCAAGCTGGGGTGGACTTGTCCAAAATGTGCTGAAACAGAGTCTATTCCCTAAATGATTCAGCGAATGCTCATTGCACTGGTGCTATCCTGAAACGCCAGCTTTTCAATCCTCTTCATTTCCGCACTGAAATTCCCAACCCTCTGGGACTCCACCTCCTCGTCAATCCTCTCAGCCATCCTAGATGACACCTCCCCCAGAAACTCCTTCCTCAGCGCCGTGAGCTCAGATACCACCTGCACCATGTCAGGACGAGACACGGTCGGCGTGGCCGTGCAGCGCAGCGCCAGCTGCGCCATCCGCAGAATCAAATTTGCCGGAGCATCCAATCGCGGGTCTTTCAATTCCTCCGCTTTGCCGGCCGCAACTAACGATTCCGCCTGAATGGGAAGGGAATCACATGGGGGGCAAGATGTACATTTGTCACTCCAATAAACAAATGGAGGAAGCAGACATACTGAATGGCGGCTGTTTGGCGTGGCAGTATAAAATGCAAAAAATACCCTACTTCCCTACGTTGACATAATCAACTCACACATATCACCCATTTCCCGCGTTGATAGTCAACTCACCCATTTCCTGACATTGAAACTGTTGCCATTCTCATCTGTCTTGACAGCATTGCGGCCCGACATTGTGGTCAGAATAAGAATGCCAAAGCTGAGGGGTGGGAAGGTGTGGGAAGGAGTAGAGAGCGGTAATTCAGCCCACTAAGAAACCATCCATCCATTTCCTGACCCAGAATGAGAATGATAAAACTGGAGAGTGACGAAAGGGGGAAACTGGAGAGGATGACAAAATGAGAAGTAAGCGGAATCCACTTCGCCCAGTGTGCCCATCACTCCCATCCCATGCACCCCCTTTCAACGCAAACCGGTTAGCACCACACTGCACCGCTCAACACAGCACTGTACCGCACTCCACCGCTCTGTACCTGTACACATCCACCATGGGTGTGGCCTTGCTGGACTTGAAGTAAGCGGGGTCCACATAGCCCGGTGTGCCCATAACTCTCATGCATTTTCCTCACATGACAATACCGGCTTGCACCACACTGCACCACTCAATACACCACTGTACCGCACTGCACCGCTCTGCACCGCTTTGTACCTGTACACATCGGCCATGGGAGTGGCCTTATTGGACTTGCAGTAAGCAGGGTCCACATAACCCGGTGTGCCCATGATGCGAGTGTCTCCCACCGTTGTGCCCTCGTTCTGCCGCAGCAGCCCAAAGTCTGCCACCTTGGCCTGGTGGGGTGAAGGGTGGGATTGCATTCGGGGCAAGGGGATGTGGGGCAATAAAGGGGGGAGGGTCGAGCAAGGGTGTGCCCATGATGCGAGTGTCTCCCACCGTTGTGCCCTTGTTCTGCCTCAGTAGCCCAAAGTCTGCTACTTTCGCCTGGCGGGAGGCGCAGGGAATAGGGGTTTGAGGCAATCAAGAGGGAATGAAATAGCAAGGGCAAGACCGTGATGCGAGTGTCTCCCACTGTCGTGCCTTGATTCTGCCTCAGCAGCCCGAGACGAGATCTGCTACTTGCATCTGGGAGCGGCGTTGAGAGGTAAGGGTGAGTGGGAGTTGCAGACCAAGGGGATGCGAGGCGAATGGGGAGAAAGAAAAGGGAGAGGCAAGGGAAACCATGATCGAATGTCTCCCACTTATAACAAGTGTACCTCAAAGTTGCCATCAAGAAGGATGCTTGCAGGCTTGACATCCCGATGCACGATGCCAAAGCTGTGGAGACACTGGATCCCATGGGGAGGGGTGGGGAACGAATTAACAAAGCTGTGCAGAAACTCAATCCCATGGGCCGCCCTCGTGCTGCGCCACCGGCAGTGGCCGTGCCGCCCCCTCCCCTCCCCTCCCCTCCCCTCCCCTCCCCTCCCCTCCCCTCTAGGTCCCCTAGGGCCACCAAACACTGCCCCCTCCCCTCTAGGTCCCCTTGGGCCACCAAAGGTGCTGGCCACTGGGGAAAGTGCATATAACGACAAGGAGAGAGCCAAAGAGAGAGAGAGAGAGAGAGAGAGAGAGAGAGAGAGAGAGAGAGAGAGGGAGAGGGAGAGGGAGATAAAGAGAGGCTGACCTCAAAATTGTTGCCTAGAAGGATGTTGGCAGGTTTGATGTCCCGGTGCATGATACCAAAGCTGTGCAGATACTCCAAGCCATGCGCCGTGCCGATGAGAACTGAGAGCCGCTGAGCCAAGGGCAGCGGCTGTGGCGCCCCCTCCCCCACCCAGTGCTGCAGGTCCCCGTGAGGCATGAACTCGTACACCACAATCTGCTCCATGCTCAGGTCGCCGGGGGTGGAGTGCGGTGCTGCTGGGTTCATGTCGATGCAGTAGCCGAGGAGGCGGACGAGGTTGGGGTGGTGCTTCGTTCCCATCGCTGCCACCTGGAATTAAATGGGACGGGCATAAGAGGGCGGACGAGGTTGGGGTGGTGCTTTGTTGCCATCGCTGCCACCTAGGTTAGAAAGGGCGCTCGCCCAAGGCAGGGTGCAGTGTGCTCACCTCTCGTTGAAAGTCCTTGGTGGCGACTCGGTGCTGCTGGGTGCCTATGCGGGTTGCTAGGTGCAGTGTGCTCACCTCTCGTTGAAAGTCCTTGGTGAGAATTCGAGATCGCTTCACAGCCCACAGCACAGAGGGATTAAAGGGACTGACGCCCCTGTACACGTCAGCAAAGCCACCGCTGCCAATCCGGTTGCTCTCTGCCCAGTCATCGGTGGCCCGCGCCAGGTCAGCAAGGGCGAATCGCTGACAGACGGACGGATGTTCCTCCCCGCTCCCCCCTCCGATCCCCCCACCGATCCCCCCACCAGCATAATACGGGTTCGCATACCCCTTATTCGCCTCTAGATCAGCCTCTGCTGCCTCCAGTCCACTGGCCTTGTTCCTGCGCCTGCAGCAGAGGAAAATACCGACTCCCCCCAGCAGCAGCAGCACCACAGACACCACCATCGCTACTATTCCTCCTGTGGACGGACCCTGAGGGGGGGAGGAGGAGGAGGAGGAGGAGGAGTAGCCAGAGCTGATAGAAGAAAAGGAGGAGGCGTTGTAAGAAGGGGAGGAGTAGGAGGAGGAGTTGATTGAGGAGGAGTTGTAGGATAAGGAGAAGTTGTCGGGTGAGGAGGAGTAAGCAGGGGTGGAGTAGGATGAGGAGGAGTAGGATGAGGAGTAAGAAGGGGAGGAGCTTGAAGCTGGGGGAAAGAGGGGAAACGGGTGGGGAGGGGAGGGGAGGGAAGATACAAATGGGGAGGGAGAGGGCAAGGGAGGACGGAAAAGGGGTGAAACAAGGGAGGAAAGTGAGAAGGAAGTGCATCGGGTGAAGTGCAGCGAGTTCTTGAGGGGGTTGAAAGGAGAGGGGGGAGGACAGAATGAGCGATTCAATGACTCAGACAGGGGGAACATGACAGAATGAGTGGTTTAATGACTCGAACTGAAAGGAAAGATAGTAGAACGAGCGGGAAGTGCTTTATAATATAACAAGACGAATGATCTAGTAGTATGGGATATGGCATTGAATAGTACCTTGGGCCGTGACAGCCGATATTCGCGAGGCGGTAAAAACGGCGGCTGCAAGCAGAATGATTGTTGACAGTCGTCGGTTCATCCTAAAGCCGTGTGAAGATAGCGCAGCCGCCATTTGCGCTGATTTCGAGCTTGAAACGAAGTATCGTCGATCGTCGCCTGGTTAGACGCTTTCGCGAAGGAGCGCCTACTATTGATATTAGCAAAAGACAGAAGTGACGACCGTCCAAAACGTGCTGTCCCCAATGTCTTCCGATGGAGTCTTTTAGGACACTTTCGGGACAGCAGCCCAACTGAAGCAAAAATGAATTCCGGGACAAATTTGGCCAAAGTCGGTATGACTGACACAGTCCTACGTAACCCTAGGACGTCCCATATGTGAAATTCTCTAGATGAATCCATTGACATAGTTTCGGGACAGCCTAGGGTTATAGCCGGGACAGGTTGAATTGGGGACAGCGACGGGACAGCGACTTTTCACTGACGTTCAGTGCACGGGACGGGATTCTGTCGATTTTCAACTCGAGGCTGGAAAGCGGAAATGACAATAAATACCGTGGAGTGCGATGTTCGCGTTGAGAAACAAGCGTGTTTGACAGGACGTGAGGTAGATAGCCCAACCAAGGCAGAAACGGATTTGTGAAAATCGGAGGTAATGGTAATTGGCACGAGTTTAGGCTGGGCGGGTGACGTCAGCGAACGGGGATTTCGAAACCTCCCTGCTGCACAATCCGACGACGGAATCATGATGTGCCTGCAGAATGCCGCCATGGATGCTGTCGCGACTCGCGGTGAAGAGAGCTGTTGGAGAGGAGGGGAGCAGCAGAGGATGGGATGGGTGGCGAAATAAAGAAGGGAAGAAAGCAGAATGAGAGGGAGGGGAAGGGAGGAGCCGGGGGGGGCGGGGGGGGGGGGAAGAAGGGGGAGCGGGGGTGGGGAGGGGGAACGAGAGGAGTCCCTCCTGTCACAGGTACAGTAATGACATTGTGGTCCGCCGAGGGAATGACATTTTTCAGGAGGCTGTGGTGCAGCAAATCTGATTCTAAGAAGCGCTTCGTTTAGGTAGGCAAGCACTAGACGTGTATTACATACTACGAAGTTGTGTGTAGATTGGCATAACACGGCACATATCCTTTTTGGCCCACCTAAAAGTGGGATTTATTGATACATAAGTAATTAAAGAGTTACAGGAGCTGCGATCTTCTATTGCATGTCGAACAGAAGCGTTCAACCTAAATACTGATAACATCATATGCTACCCCACTTATCCCACGCTTCTCTACTTGTCAACAATAGTCTTCAGTCCAAACGGAGACACATATGAGACACTATTACTGTACCACAAAATCCCCGCCAGCACTTCGTTAAACGCCTCAGTGGGATTATACCAGTCCCACCACACGTACTTAGTCGGGTCCTTGCATGCTGTTGCACTGTAGCTCTTGCCCCCCTCTTTTATTGTCTGCCCACAGGCTATCAGCTTTCCGCTGGGTGTTTTACCCTCACAGCAAACTGACGTCTTGTCAATGAAGCCACCTGGTGGGAAGTTGTGCAAGGGGATGGAAGGGAGGGAGGAAGGTAAGTCACATCTTTCAGACACACTCACAAGCACACTCTCTCTCTCACACACGCATACACTGACACACACACATGCACACCAATCCAGTTTCGCACACGTGCACCCAACTACAGCACACAACCGCACACAACAACAGACACCCACACCCACCTGCAGTGGTGCCCTTGACTCGATACACAGTGCTCTGCTTGAACAATATCAGGTTGGTCACCCCCTGCTGCCGCAGCTTCTCCAGCTTCACCCGCACGCCCCTGTTGTGCCGCTGCCTCGTCGCGCTGCCCCACACACATGCACACGACCGCACGCAAGCACACACAACTCCACCCGATAGCTACCCAACCCACCTGCAGTGATCCCCTTGACGCGAAACACAGTGCTCTGCTTGAAGAGAATCAGGTTGGTCACGCCCTGCTGCCTCAGCTTGCACACACAACCACACAGAACCGAATACAACCACATGCAAAGACACACCCACCTGCAGTGGTGCCCTTGACGCGAAACACAGTGCTCTGCTTAAACAATATGAGATTGGTGACCCCCTGCTGCCGCAGCTTATCCAGCTTCACCCGCACGCCCGTGTTGTGCTGGTCGGCTAACTTATTTGCTGCTCACATGCACACAACCGCACATGACCGCACATGACCAGACGCACACACGCACCTGCCGTAGTCCCCTTGACTCGGTAAACAGTGCTCTGCTTGAACAGGATCAGATTCGTGACCCCCTGCTGCCTCAGCTTATCCAATTTCACCCTCACGCCCGTGTTGTGCTGGTCTGCGAGTTTATTCGCAACAACATACACATGCACACAACCACACACAACCGCACACAACTCCACCCACTAGCCCCCCACCTGCAGTGGTGCCCTTGACTCGGAACACGGTGCTCTGCTTGAAGAGAATCAGATTGTCACGCCCTGCTGCCTCAGCTTATCCAGCTTCTCACAACCACACACAACTACATCCACACCCACCTGCAGCAGTGCCCTTGACTCGATACACGGTGCTTTGCTTGAAGAGAATCAGGTTTGTCACGCCCTGCTGCCTCAGCTTGTCAAGCTTCACCCTCACCCACGTGTTGTGCTGGTCGGCTATCTATTTTCCCACACGCACACAACCGCACACAGCCACACATGGAGAGGCACACACCCACCTGCAGTGGTGCCCTTGACTCGGTAAACAGTGCTCTGCTTGAACAGGATCAGATTCGTGACCCCCTGCTGCCTCAGCTTATCCAGCTTCACCCTCACGCCCGTGTTGTGCTGGTCCACCACCACACATAACCGCACATAACCACACACGGAGAGACACACACCCACCTGCAGTGGTGCCCTTGACTCGATACACGGTGCTCTGTTTGAACAATATGAGATTGGTGACCCCCTGCTGCCGCAGCTTATCCAGCTTCACCCGCACGCCCGTGTTGTGCTGGTCCGCAAGTTTATTTGCTGCCTCATCGCACTGCCCTGCTGGTGTCTTCTTGAAATATCGCACAGCAGGGATGCACCCGAGGGGAGGCACGTCAAACACAACGATCTTGGTGGTTTTGGTCATGGCGTTGAGGTCCTGGTGAGAGTGGGGGTTGGGGAGTGGGGAGCCTTTCTTATTCGCCGCCTCGTCACACTGCCCTGCAGGAGTGTTCTTGAAATAGCGCACGGCAGGGATGCACCCGAGGGGCGGCACGTCACAGACAACAATCTTGTTGCTCTTGGTCATGGCGTTGAGGTCCTGGTGAGAGTGTGGGGAGGGGTGGAGAGCGGTGAGGTGAGGGGAGGTGGGAGCATGTGCCCCAAGCGGAAAAGGAATCAAGTCTTCTTGAAGTAACGAACGGCTGGGATGCACCCGAGGGGCGGCACGTCGAATACCACGATCATGGTGCTCTTGGTCATGGCGTTGAGGTCCTGTGATGGGGAGAGAAGGGGGTGGAGAGTATTGACTAGAGAGTGGGTGGCTGAAGCTAGCCCCTAGCGAGGCACGTCCAATACCACGATCATGGTGCTCTTGGTCATGGCGTTGGCTATCGCCCCTGTTGTGGCCGATAACACCGATCTAAGCTCTGCCTGTACCGAAGACTTTCCCTCATTGATTATTGACCCCCGTTGAGTTGACTCGCGTTGACTCACTTTGACTCGCGTTGACTCACCTGCACAGCTTTCACTATCGCCCCTGTTGTTGCCGATAACACCTGCTCTAATATCTCCCTGTCCAACTGCTGTTGACTGCCATTGACTCGCGTTGACTTGCGTTGACGCACCTGTACGGCTTTGACTATCGCCCCTGTCGTAGCTGATAACACCTGCTCCGGGCTCTGCCTGTCCAACAGCTGTTGACTGCCATTGACTAGCGTTGACTCCCATTGACTCACCTGCACTGCCTTCACTATCGCCCCTGTCATAGCAGACAACACCTGCTCCAAGCTCTGCCTGTCCAACTACTGTTGACTGCCATTGACTCGCGTTGACTCGCGTTGACTCACGTTGACTCGCGTTGACTCACCTGCACGGCTTTGACTATCGCCCCTGTTGTAGCAGACAACACCTGTTCCAAGCTCTGCTCGCCCGACTGCCCAAGAAGTGCCAACACGTAGTCGTTGGTTCCCTTTGACTCGCATTGACTCGCGTTGACTCGCGTTGACTCACCTGCACGGCCTTCACAATCGCCCCTGTCGTTGCAGACAACACCTGCTCCACACTCTGCCCGCCCGACTGCCCGAGAAGTGCCAACACGTAGTCGTTGGTTCCGGCGCTGATCATAATCAGTGATTGGTCTAGCATCTGGGGCGAATAAACGGGTGGGGGGAGAGAGGGGGAACAAAAGGGACTTCAGAGTGGGGAGGGGGGCTTGTAAAAGAGATTGCTGACACGTAGTCGTTGGTTCCTGCGCTTATCATGATCAGTGATTGGTCCAGCATCTAGGAATGCAGATCAGCAAGTTCGGGGGAGGGGGAACGAAGGGTATACGGGAGAGAGGGGATGAAGGCGAAAAAGAAGGGAATGATTAGCGCATAGTCCTTGGTGCGTTGGTAAGCAAGGCACGAAGGCATGGTCCTTGGTGGCGGTGCTGATTAGAATCAGTGATTGGTCAGGTATGTGGGATAGAATGAAGGGACGAGTATGCAGGTAAAAGGATGTGTATGGAACTCATTCCACCACCTGTCGTTTTGTCTCACCACCTGCCGTTTCATCTCGCCACCCGCCGTTTCATCTCACCACCTGAGCGTGTCATCTCACCACTTGGGGGTTGTTCTTGCGCTTGTCCTTGTACTCCTGCATGTACGCTATCTGGGTTTGGAGACTGCGGGTCTGCAAGCAGAAGGGATGGGAAGGGGTGCAAAGGGGTGAGAAGGGGTGAGCAGGGATGGAAAGCGGTGAAGAAGCGTCAGGTTGTTTTTGCGCTTGTCCTTGTACTCTTGCATGTACGCTATCTGAATTTGCAGACTGCGAGTCTGCAATCATCCGGAGGGGATGGGAAGGGGTGCAAAGGGGTGAGAAGGGGTGAAGAAGCGTCGGGTTGTTCCTACTCCTGCATGTAGGCTACCTGAGTTTGGAGACTGCGCGTCTGCAAAGGGATGGGGAGAATGGGAACGGGGTGGAAAGGGGTGCAAAGGGGTGAGAAAGGGTGATGAAGCGTTGGGTTGTTCTTGCGCTTGTCCTTATACTCCTGCATGTAAACTATCTGGGTCCAGATAATTCACAAAGGAAGGAATGGGAAGGGGTGGGAAGCGGTGGGAAGGGGTGGGAAGGCGTGGGAAGCAGTGGGAAGGAGTGATGAAGCCTCGAGGTTCAAGCTGTGGCGAAGGCGAGTCCTTGTACTCATGCATGTACGCTATCTGCGCCAGGCTGCGCGTCTGCAAAGGGAAGGGGTGGGGAGGGATGGGAAGCGGTGATGAAGCGCCAAGGTGTGGTGAAGGCGTGTCCTTGTACTCTCAAGCATGTACGCTATCTGCGCCAGGCTGCGCGTCTGTCGCTCCCTGCTTCTACCCTCGCTATAGTCACACTATCCCCCCTTCCACTCATTACAGTCACTCTCGCACGCACCTTCCCTGTATACACCCAGTTTCGCGCGCCTGCTGCAGTCGCGAAGCTCGATCCCTGCTTCTACCCCGCTACAGTTACACAACTACAGCACACTCTCATCTCCACCCCTCCTTATAGTCACACTCTCACCTTCCCGGTATACACCCAGTTCTGCGCGCCAGCCGCGAAGCTCGTTCGCTGCTTCTACCCTCGCTACCGTCACACAACTACAGTCACAATCTCACCTTCCCCCCTCTTTGTAGTCACACTCTCACCTTCCACGTATACACCCAGTTTCGTGCGCCGGCCGCGGCAGTCGCGAAGCTCGTTCCGTGCTTCTACCCTCCATACAGTGACACAACTACAGTCACACTCTCACCTCCACCCCTCATTGTCACACTCTCGCCTTCCCCGTATACACCCAGTTTCGCGCGCCAGCCGTGGCAGTCGCAAAGCTGGTTCCCTGCTTCTACCCTCGCCACAGTCACACAACTACAGTCACACTCACCTCCACCCCTCATTGTCACACACCCTCACCTTCCCCGTGTACACCCAGTTTCGCGCGCCAGCCCCGGCAGTCGCGAAGCTCGTTCCCTGCTTCGACACAAGCGGCTTGCGGTGGTACGCGAACAGGCTCGGCAGACCCAGGCGGAATGCTGGAGGCGGGGGAGGGGGAAGGGGAAAAAGTGGGGGCGGTGGGTAAAGGGGTGGAACGGGGAGAAAGGGTGAGTCCCCTGATTTGACACGAGCGGCTTGCGATGGTACGCGAAGAGGCTCGGCAGGCCCAGGCGGAAGGCTGTTACGCGGAATGGGGGGATGGGGATAAAGGGGGAGTCGCATCGGAGCTTCAAACGAGCGGCTTGCGATGGTACGCGAAGAGGCTAGGGAGACCCAGGCGGAACGCTGAAGGGGGGATGTGGGGGTGGGGGAAGGGGAGGGGGGAGGAGAAATTGGGGGACGAGCAGCGGAGAAAGGGTGAGTCGCGTACGAACTTCGACACGAGCGGCTTGCGGTGGTACGCGAAGAGGCTCGGGAGTCCCAGGCGGAACGCTGGGGGAGGGGGAAGGGGGAAGGGGAAGGGAAAAATGAAGGGCGGGCAAGGGTGAGTCGCATCGGAGCTTCGACACAAGCGAGTGGCTTGCGGTGGTACGCGAAGAGGCTCGGCAGACCCAGGCGGAACGCTGGGGAGGGGGAAAGGGAGGGAGAAGGGGAAAAAGGGGGAGGGGCGAGAGAGAAAGGGTGATTCCCGTGCTCGTCAAACGTGGCTCATGCCCGTGTCGAACGCTGGCGACCCTCACATTTCTACAATCACTCTCCTATAATCACTCACTGATAAAGTCAAGGACCAAACGTCCGTTGCTGAAGCGCCCGGTTCTCTTGCCGCCCCAATTTTGACCGTATGGCGGCTCGGTGGCCTTCCAGATGGCCTGGCTGAAAAAGCGGCTCATTCCCGTGTCGAAAGTCTGATCGCCGAATGCGAAGACCTGCCTGATTTTCCCCGCGAACGCCGGCGACGCGGCGAAAGTCGTGAATGTGAATGTAACGAGCGCGAGGATGGCGGGCGCGCGGCGGCTGTTGCTCCTAAACGGGCCCATGACTTTTATATGCTCAGTTGGATGCTCAGGTGTATTGGTAAACGTATTATCGGCTGATGGGTCTGGCGTATTTTATGTATCCTTAACTCGCGGTCTGATTAGTTCTGCAATGCACGCGATCCTTGACGACTCTCCGTCCCTTCAGGCGAGTCGCGCACCCCTTTTATTATATTTTTGGCTTACAAGAACTACGCGATACGAAGTTGGACGGCTTTGGGTGATCGTATACCGGGTATAGCGAGGCGTCGGGCCAGTATCGCACCGCTCGTGTCTAATCTCAAGTAACACGTCTTACAAGGTCAAGAACGACTTCAAACGGAGAGCTATGGTATGCGGTTCTCTTTCGAATGATTTCTTGAAGTTGGCAGGTTTGGCGAAGAAAGCGAGGGAGATTGGAGAAAGGCTGAACAGAAAGGAGAGAAGGAATAACTCAGGTGGGTTAGGTTTGTTGCAAATGGTTTCAGCTGGGTTGGTTTGGCAGATAAGTGCGGGAACAGGTGGAAGCGGAGGTTCATTGGCAGATGGCGGGCTTTGGTTCGTCGCGACTCTAGATCCGGGTTCGAAACCACAAACTGTCATCCAGCTTTTTTGCCCGAAATGCCAAAACGAGCGATGGCGCTACACATAGTCCTCGCCAACTTCACTATGGGCAATTTCACCCCCCTGTGTATTCGATTTTCATTTACCCGAAATTGAGGGTTGTTTCAAACAATTTGGTTTTAAGTAAAACAATGTCTAGGACTGCGTAAATGAGTCAGCGGGAAACAAAAGAAGATTGTCGCAGTGAAAGATTCAGTCTTTGCGTGGGGCTCAACGTCAGACGGGGCAACATCGAAACTTTACAATGTCTCGGATAGCCTCAAGTTCGTGGGTGTCTGATCCCTTTAGCCAAAAACGGTCAGTTTGGCTTTAAGGAAGAACTGACGGGGCGTGAAATTGGCGAGGGCTAGTGTATGCTTCTGGAGGCAAAGTGCGACACTGGGCCAAGTGTAATTCAGGTGAAAAGTGAGCAAAACGTTGATTTCATCAACACTTACCGTTGGCTTCCCAGTTTGTTTAGAAATCATTTCATAACTGTGGTGCAACCTCTCTGGAAAATGGGGGACGCTGGCGCAAACTTCCCTCCCACGCGCCAAACCTCAGCTTCCCACATGAGCCACGCTGCGCATTTGTTCATTCACCTGCGGTACGACCGAAATCTTCCACGTGGATTGGCGGCTGAATGTGGACAAACTTCAGGGAGGATGGCGTGAAACTGGATGCCGACATCCGATAAAGGGTCATCGCGTGGTTACTGTATTTGGGTTGGACAGAAATGCCTTTGTTTAAAAACTGTTGTTATGTTTCTATACGTTCACATTCATTATGATGAAGTTGAAAACGAACTTTTGTTGTCAACGCGTACAATCTGAAATACACATTGCCTAGGACTAGAATACCACATCTAGAATGCTTGCAGGTTTACATGCGGAACCTCTAAAACTCGCTGTTACTAGCGATCCTGCTTCAGTATCATCGTGTAGCGCTTCGTGAAAAGACCGATGCTCTGATTGCGCTACTGATTACGCTACTAGGATGGGAGAAAACTCGTCCACGACAGACGCAGAACGACCTGTCCCGTCGCCGCCGCTAGCGCCGGGATCGGCGGTGGTAACGGACGTATTATCCGCAGCGCGCGATCGGTGCTATAAGGCACGTCCGTTTCATTCAAAAGCCCATTACGTTTTGCTATTATATTCGGTCAAACAATATTCGCAATCGTGCAGTCAGCAGCACCAGCTGTGCTTGATGTCATTTTATTGAATGCGCAATTTGTCCTTTCCGCCGATCTTGCAACGGTAACCCCCCCTCCAATCCTCTCCCATAACCCCTCACTCCCCCCCTTTCCCCCCGTCCTGCAGGCACGGGATGCGTTCTATGCATGCGTTGAAGCAGCAGCAGCACCGGCTGTGCATTATTACCTTCAAGTCAATTCAATCCTCGCCCACTTCCTCCTCACCTCCTCCCTCCCTTTCTGCAAGCACAGGACTTTTGAGGCGCCTCAAAAGTCGTTCCATGCATGCGTTGAAGGAGCAGCAGTACCGGCTGTGCATTATTACCTTCAAGTCAACTCAGTCCTCGCCCCCTCTCTCCTCCCCTCCTCCCCCCCTTTTCTGCAAGCACAGGATGCGTTCAATCCCAATCCCCACTCTTCTCCCCTCACCCCCCTCCCTAACCCCTGCTGCTGCAGACACGGGATGCGTTCTATGCATGTGTGGAGTCAGCAGCACCAGCTGTGCAATATGAAAACTTACCCATCCATCCTCCCACACGCATCTTCCCACACCCCCCTCCTTCCCCCCATACTGCAGGCACGGGATGCGTTCTATGCATGCGTGGAGTCAGCAGCAGCAGCAGCAGCAGCAGCAGCTGTGCAATACGATTGGACTCCTTTCATTTCAACCCCAAACTCTTCTCCCCCCACCTCAATCCCACCCACCCAAACCGCACTCTCCTCCCCTCACCCCCCTCCCTCCCCCCCGCTCTGCAGGCATGGGATGTGTTCTATGCAAGCGTGGAGTCAGCAGCACCAGCTGCAGACGCAGAGGCTGCAGCTGCTATTGCCCCTCCACCCTCACTCTTCTCCCCTCAACCCCCTCCACCCTCACTCTTCTCCCCTCAACCCCCTCCACCCTCACTCTTCTCCCCTCAACCCCCTCCACCCTCACTCTTTCCTGCAGGCACGGGATGCGTTCTATGCATGCGTGGAGTCAGCAGCACCAGCTGCAGACGCAGAGGCTGCAGCTGCTGCTGCCCCACGCGAGCAACCAGGAGAAGCAGCAGCAGCAGCAGCAGCAGCAGGAGCAGGAGGAAGAGGGGGCAGCAGGGCCAACAGCGCACTACCGCCATCATCCACATCACCCCCATTGCCCTCCTTACGGCGATCGCAGTCAAAGGCACTGGAATATCCGCCTTGCTGTCAGCCCGCTCGTTCTCTTTACGAGAAGTCCTGCCGTCCCGCATGGGTACGTTACATGCCCCTTGCACGGCTCTCATCCACATGTGCCTCAGCACCCTCATTGCCCTCCTCGCGGAGATATCAGTCAAAGGCACTGGAATATCCTTCTTGCTGTCAGCCTGCACGTTCGCTCTACGAGAAGTCCTGCCGTCCTGCTTGGGTGCGTTGCCTACCCCTTGTATAGTATACCCAAGCAATCTACCCAGTTTGCCCAACCAGACTACTATGCCCACCCAATCTACCCAGTTTGCCCAACCAATCTACCCTTTCTTTTCCAATCCTCCCAATCTAACCAGTCTACCCTATCGTCCCAATTTGGTTCTGCGGAACCCACCTCACCATGTGCCGCTTTGCACTGTTTTCCGGTCAGGTACAAGCCGTTTTCGTTGCTTTGTCACTCCCTTGCTTCTGTGTTTTCTTGCATGGACGCATGTCATGTCTTGTAACCCTGCTCTTCCAGCCTTCTCAAGCTTGATATAGCTGAATCACATCTGACCGTCTTGCACCTGACCGTCTTGCACCTGACCGGCTTTCACCTGACCGTCTTGCACCTGACCGGCTTGCATCTGACCGGCTTGCATCTGACCGGCTTGCACCTGACCGGCTTGCACCTGACCGGCTTGCACCTGACCGGCTTGCACCTGACCGGCTTGCACCTGACCGGCTTGCACCTGACCGGCTTGCACCTGACCGGCTTGCACCTGACCGGCTTGCACCTGACCGGCTTGCACCTGACCGGCTTGCACCTGACCGGCTTGCACCTGACCGGCTTGCACCTGACCGGCTTGCACCTGACCGGCTCGCACCTGACCGGCTCGCACCTGACCGGCTTGCACCTGACCGGCTTGCACCTGACCGGCTTGCACCTGACCAGTTTGCACCTGACCACGTTGCAACTGTCCCTGGCAGGTGTTGCACTTTGATCACCTGTACATAGCAGAGTGAAACATGAGGAGCGTTGTGGGAGGAACTCCAAGAGTGCAAAAGCCTGTTGCCTGAGTTGTGTCACACCTGCTTCTGGTGTCTCACACGTTTGACTCACTATCCATCCTGTTGCCCTTGGCAGGTGTTGCACTTTGATCGCCTGTACATAGCAGAGAGAAACATGAAAAGCGTTGTTGGAGGAACTCCTAGAGTGCAACAACCCGCTGCTCTTTGAATGGTTACGGCCGGAACATTCTTGAGCATTTGAACAAGTTGCACTGCGTTGCATGTGGATATCTGTCGCATATTGATGTCTTCCTTTTAAATTTCCACGTAACTGTACCCATCAGGCAGCTGTATCAAGCACCTGCGTATTGTGTATTTAGAGAAGGTACCATTAATCTATAGGTAGCCAGATACCGTATATTTTGCAAGAGCAAGTGCATTGAGGTTGTATAACTTCTTGGTGTAGAGTCATCAAACCCATATCGCTATAGGCCAGCACCAAACCGCTGGCTGCCTGTGGGCACTACAATGAATTCAGATGTCCGCGAAAGTGGGCAATCGGGCACCGACTTGTAACTTCATTCCCCTCGCAATACTTCTCGAGGGTTGTCGGCTCAGAGATGCAGCCTCGACGTGATTCGTGAATTTCGTGAGCCCGTGACTCAAATTTCGCAAATCTCTGCGTCTCGGCTCGGCGCTTGGCTCGAGCCGCTTGGACCAAACCATCCCATACTTCGCCCACAGGCGTGGGCAAATTTGACCACCGTTTCCACGCATGGCGGCTCGCATATCAATCTCTTGCATCTCCCTGCGGCAGCTGGCAAATGTGCGGCTGCGAGGCGACAGTTTTCCCTCAGCTTTCCTTCCCAATCTCCATACCTCAGTTCGATTCCCTTTCCCCGCCTGCACCCAGAGCGCCCTCCCCTTCTCGAATTCCGCTCGCGCGTCCCGCCATAGAAGCCACATTGCGTTGCCATGCCACTGCCCACAAGCCCACGATCAGCCCTTCCCGAGTGTGAGCGGAACGCCGTCAAGTGACGTCAGTTCCTTTGCTCCCTAATACTAAAGCATTTGCTAATCTTGTAGTGCAGTCATATCGCAACCAGTTGAGCATCACAGTGGAACCCCTCCCTGCTTGGCAGGATCTCATTCTATCAAGCAGCTCTGTGCTTCAAAACTTTTGAACATCCAACTGCAAATCCGGTATTCCCTCTCCCGGGGCGATTTTTTCAAAGATCTGAAGCTCGTATATTCACTATTATTCGAGCCAGTCGTGTAAGAGTACCCCTGTCACAATGACGAGGTTCTTCGCTACAATCACTCTCGCGCTCGTCGCGCTTCTATCCATCCATCTCACCAGCGCGTCGTCCACAGTCGACGACGCCAAGACCAGCAGCTCCGCTACAATCACCTCCGATACAAGCGCCTCCGATACAAGCAACTCCTCTACAAGCGCAAGCACGGTGGGACCACCGCAGGTGTTCGCGTTCGGAGACCAGTACCTGGATACGGGCATGACAAATCACCTCGAGTCTGCCGGATGGAAGGCTGACGTGGAGCCATACGGCATCGGTTTCAAGGCAGCTCCGGGCCGGTTCTGCGACGGCCGACTCACGATCGACCTCATTAGTGAGTGACGCGCCTCGAAATATCGCCAGTCTTTCGCCATTCTTCCTCCAACGACTCCTGTGCCGCCATCTCTTCGAAATCGTCACATTCGTCGCTTTCGTCGCACCCGAGGACGGCGTGGGGAGCGACTAATACTACTTGGCACCAAGGAGCTAGACGGTATTTGAGAAAACGCTCCCTTCCTTTCCCATTTCCTTCTCGTCCCATTCTACCAGCCGAGGACATGGGCAGCGACTACCTCATGCCCTACATCACCAAGTCCCTCGTCTCAAAGCAAGGCACCAGCTATTAGCCGGTGTTTAACTCGCTTCTCTCTTCTCCTCTCGTCACTCTCCCCTATCGTCCGCCAGCCGAGGACATGGGCAGCGACTACCTGATGCCCTACATCACCAAGTCACTCGTCTCAAAGCAAGGCACCAGCTTCTCAGCCTGTGTTTGAGACTCGCTTCTCTCTTCTCCTCTCGTCTCTCTCCTTTCCACCAGCCGAGGACATGGGCAGCGACTACCTGATGCCCTACATCACCAAGTCACTCGTCTCAAAGCAAGGCACCAGCTTCGCCACCGCAGGCGCCGGGACGAAACCCTGGATCAACAGCAACCAGGTGCGTGCGCGTGCCCTCGCGTGAAGCTTTCGACTGCCACTAAATTTCTCAGTGTTCAGGTGCTTCCTCTGCGTTTTAACGTTTTGTGCAATGCTTCTTCCACGTGCATTATCTTCTACCGCTTTAAATGCTATCATGCTGCGTTTCAAGTGTCTCTCATCTTCCGTCCGCACGTCCCCATCATGCTATCACGTGCAGACGTGGAGCCTGCAGCACCAGCTGGAGTTCTTCAGTCAGTACGCGGCCGACCGCAGGGCAATGGTGAGTTCAATCTCTTACTATCCCCTTTGCTGCCCGCTCTTATTAAGGCCGCTGCCCCTTTTACTACCCCTCCCTGCGCTTGCCCTTCCTTGCCCCCCTCACTTCCCTTTCTCTGTCTTCAAAATGTTAGACTTCTGTTCTGCATTACCATCTATGCTTTCCGTTTATTCGGTCTTTGCCAATCCCCATGTATGCCTCTCTTACCCTTTTCCTCCACCCGTCCTTCCCTTCTTCTCCTTTGCCTCTGCACCTTTCCCAGAAATTCAATACAGCGGTCTTCGTTATCAGCATCGGCACCAACGACTACCTCGATGCGATTCTGGGAGACGGAGGCGACAAGGCGGCAGCAGATCTAGTCTCCTCCACCACAAATGCCATCGTTGACGCCATTCTCGTGCTCTTCAAGACCACGCGCGCCATTAAGTTTGTTGTTTACGACCTGCCGCCTCTCGGGTGCATTCCCGCCGTGCGCTTAGCTAAGCGTCTCGTGAGCGAGTCCGCCGGGTGCTACGAGCCGGCCAATCAGATCGCGGCGGATCACAACCAGGCGCTGTCGATGAAGCTCGACAAGCTGCGGGCGGCGGGAGTGAAGGATTTGATTCTGTTCCGCATGTCCAGCGGATTCGAGAATCTTCTGCTCAAGGACGGAACTGGTAAGGCCAAACTGCAAATCCCATGACATTTCAAATTCCTCCTGCATTTTCCTGCCTTGACTGTGCTACTGATGTTTCTGCTCCTCCTGCCTATGCTCGCACCTGTGGCTTTCTGTGCGTCGTTTCTTGATTACTCATCTGCCCTTTCTCCATGCCTTGCAAATCTTCCTTGCTCCTGCCCTGCAGCTTTCACCAGCAAGCTCACTCCGTGTTGCCAGGGTGAAACACCCAAGGGCGAGAAAATTTCTTGCGGGCAGACCGTGGAGGAGGGCGGGAAGAACTACACCGCATCAGTGTGCGACGAGCCGGCCAAGTCTGTGTGGTGGGACGACTATAACCCTACCGAGGCTGCTAATAACGCACTCGAGTTTGTGCTGTGGAACAGCAACAGTATCTTGTATGTAAAGCCCAACGGTCTCAAGCAGTCGCTGGAGTAAACAGCTCTCTGCAATAATGAGGAGAGTCGGGGACTGGCTGGGTTATTGCTACTTTGGGAAAGCACTTTGCTCTGGAGTAAACACTTTGCTCTGGAGTATTCACTTAGCTGGATTTGCTGAGTTGTCTTGGGCTTATACACCACCCGGGTCGGGTCTTGTGCTCACTACGGATGGAGGAGTGGGGTAGTGGGGTTGGTGGAAGGAGACGGGGGGGAGCGACTTAGATATGAAGCATCTGCCATGTATGCATGTGGCCTAGTGGGTAGGCTCTCTTCCCTGAGAGAGCTTGCAGAACGCTATTAGTAGGAGGCACCCATGTGGCAAATAAAGCTGGCAATGATGTGGTATTGATTTTGTTAAATATATATTCTGTAGAATGCAATGTATCGACCACCATCTGGTGTCCCCTGGTGCTTCACCATCCCTGTGTACCATACCATGCTACACCATCTGCCACATAATTGGATTTGTTACGGTACAACCCTGGTTCACCTTCACATGTTATTCGCCTCACCTTCCCATGTGCTACACCTTGCTTCACATGTGCTGTTATGCTACACCATCGCACGTGCACTATTACTATGCTTCGCTACCGCAGGTGGGAGTGTGGCATTGCAGGTGGGTGGGTCATAAATGGGTGGGTGTCATCACAAATGGGTGGGTGTCTTCGTGGGTGGGTGCAATTGCAGGTGGGTAGGTGTCATCGCGGGTGGGTGAATGTCTTCTTTCTACTCATTATGCTGCTCACCAGGTGAGTGTACTTTTCCCCTCTCCTTCACAGCTGTTTGAGGGCCCCCTGAGGCTGGTGGCTCAGAGAAACTGCTGGTGGCTCAGAGAAACTGCTGTGGCTCGGAGAACTGCTGTGGCTCGGAGAACTGCTGTGGCTCGGAGAACTGCTGTGGCTCGGAGAACTGCTGTGGCTCGGAGAACTGCTGGTGGCTCAGCATGAACATCTGCACTGCATGTTTCACTACATCTGGTGTGGAACATAAAAAAAAGGAGGAAACCTATGCATGCTAACAGGAACATGTGCCGCTAATAAATACGAGAAAGCAACCTTCTTATTCGGTTTTAACAGCAGCATAAGAGCCGACCGCTTTCCGGAACACATACGATTGCTCAAAGTATCCGTGCCTGCAACGTTACAGTAAACCACCAGTAAAGAAAAGGAAAATAAATAAACAAAGCTTTGTACATCCCGTAATCTTCGAAGCCGTTTTGCCCGATCGTGAATCCTCCCAGCTCACTGGTGAGGGTGAGTCTGTCACCCACCCATTTGACTTTTGAGGCGCCTCAAAAGTCCTCCCAGCTTACTGGTAAGAGTCTGTCACCCACCCATTCGTGCCCACAAGTAGGCAACTCACCCAGTCTCCTCTGCAAACACGAAATCCCGTCCACAACTCACCCATTCTTGCCGGCAAAGATGGGAGTGTGGTTGTAGAGAAGCATGTCGTTCTTATCCTCCCTCAGTTCACTGGTAACAATATGCAACCCACCCATTCTTCACAACACAGTAAGCAGCTCACCCATTCTTGCTGGCAAACTCAGGAGCATGGTTGTAGAGAAGCATGTCGTTCATATCCCCCCTCAGCTCACTGGTAAACAATACGCAACCCACTTATTCTTCCCAACACAGTAAGCAGCTCACCCATTCTTGCCGGCAAAGACGGGAGCATGGTTGTAGAGAAGCATGTTCTTCATCCCCTCTCCCCGATCACTGGTGACAGCATGTCACTCACCCCTTCTTGCCGGGCAACTCACCCATTCGCGCTAGCAGATGCAACTCACCCATTCTTGCCAGCAAAGACGGGAGCGTGGTTGTACAGAAGCATGTCGTTCATACCCTCATCCGAGGCTGGACGGTGGGTGTTGCGACGCACCTCACTGCAATGGGGAGGAGTGGGGAGGAGTGGGGAGGAACAGAAGATCTGTTGTAGAGAAGAATGTCGTTCATGCTCTCATCCGAGGATGGACGGCGGGTGTTGCGACGCGCCTCACTGCCATGGGAAGGTATGGGGAGGAATGGGGAAGCGTGGGGAGGAGTGGGGAGGAGTTGGGAGGAGTGGGGAGGACTGTTGAGGAACAGGAGACTCGTTGTAGAGAAGCATGTCGTTCATTATCTCGTCCGAGGCTGGACGGTGGGTGTTGCGACGAGCCTCACTGCCATGGGGAGGAGTGGGGAGGAGTGGGGAGGAGTGGGGAGGAGTGGGGAGGAGTGGGAGGGATGATAACGGGGAAGGAGTGGGGATGACAAGGGGGAAGAGGAGGGAATGACAAGGGGGAAGGGGTGGGGATGATAAGGGGGAAGGGGTGGGGATGACAAGGGGGAAGGGGTGGGGATGACAAGGGGATGGGGATGACAAGGGGGAAGGGGTGGGGATGATAAGGGGGAAGGGGTGGGAATGATAAGGGGGAATAGGTGGGGATGCTAAGGGGGAAGGAATGGGGATGACAAGGGGGAAGGGGTGGGGATGACAATGGGGAAAGGGTGGGATGACAAGGGGGAAAGGGGTGGGGATGACAAGGGAAAAGGGGTGGGGATGACAAGGGGGATGGGGTGGGGATGACAAGGGAAAAGGGGTGGGGATGACAAGGGGGAAGGGGTGGGGATGACAAGGGGGAAGGGGTGGGGATGATAAGGGGGGAGGGGTGGGGATGTGAGAGAGCGGAGAAGAGAGTATTGTTAGAGTGGAGGGAGAATGGAAGGATAGCGGCTGAGAGGGAGCATGTCGTTTGTGCGTGTGACTGTATCGTGCGTGACTGCACTGCATGTGACTTTAGCGTGCGTGAGTACACTGCATGTGACTGTAGCGCGCGTGAATGCACTGCGTGTGACTGTCGTGCGTGTGACTGAAGCCTGTGTGACTGTAGTTCTCATGACCCACTGCAATGGCGTGTGGTGCATGGTGTAGGAGTGACTTCAGCGTGAGTGACTGTAGTGTGCGTTACTAAAACTCGTGTGACTGTAGCGCTATTGGGACCACTTTCAACTCACTTGACAAAGAAGTTGGCCGCTGCCTGACCCACAGCAATGGCGTGTGCTCCGTGGGGTATGTGATCCAAGCCCCACTCGTACGCGTTCTTCTGTGATGGGTTAAGGAATGCAAGTGGAGGGGAGGGGAGGAAGGAATGAGAAGCACAGCAATGGCATGTGCTGCATTTGGAATGTGGTCCAGCCCCCACTCATAGGCGTTCTTCTGTTGTGTGTGTTGGGAGGGGATGAATGGGCGAAAGAAGGAGAATTCTGAGGCTAGAGAATGGGCCTGACAAGCACAGACACAGCATGAGCTATTTTTGAGTCAACTAAAAAATAGACACGTCAATGGGCGAGAGAAGGAGAATTATGAGACTAAAATCTGGGCCTGAGGAGCAACTACACAACGTGAGTTGCATCAAGACAAACTGTGCGCCACCTCAGGATGCCACTGTGTGCCATAGAAGGGGTAGCGTTTCCCCTGCACTGTTGTCACATACTCCTATAGTCACAGATGGTCACACAGCGGAAAAAAAAAATCAATATCAATAGTTGTGACAATGATACTATATAAGGAGAAAATAGATATTTACCTCTTTTTTCATAAGTAGTCAGATGATACGATGATACAGCATTTTTACAAACTTTCGTTCAATGCCATACACCTCCATACCAGTCCGTTCTTATCGAACGAGGTGGTGAGGACGAAGAAGAAATCCCTCAGCTTGCTGTTAGAGAGGAAACGATGCACCGTGGTGCCGTCCTGAGAGGGGAGAGAAGGGTGCAGGATGGGGGGGAGGGGAGGGGAGGGAAAGGAAGGGCAGGGGGAGGGCGAATGCAGAGGTTGAACAGACATCCCTCAGCTTGCTGTTAGAGAGGAAGCGATGCACCGTTGTGCCGTCCTGAGAGGGAGGAAGAGGAGAATGTGTAAGCGAAAGGGGTCCAAGTGAGAGAGGGGGGGGGGAGGGGGAGCGAGAGATGGGGAGCACGAAGAAGAAATCCCTCAGGCTGGTGAGGAGGGGAGAGGAGGGGAGAGGAGGGGAGAGGAGGGGAGAGGAGGGGAGAGGAGGGGAGAGGAGGGGAGAGGAGGGGAGAGGAGGGGAGAGGAGGGGCGAATGAGAACGGGGCGGAGAGAGGGGAAGAGCGGGGAGAGGGGGGAAGGTTGGAACAAACGAAAGTTACCTGATGGTTTTCCATGGTGAGAGGAAGCTCTTGCACCTTTGCACCTTTGCGGAGAGAGGGGGGAAGGACGGAGAAAAGCTAGACTCACCTGATGGTTTTCCATGGTGAGAGGGAGCTCTTGAACCTTTTCAGCCAAATCCGGAGACATCCTGGAGCGAGGGGCGCGAGAGCGAGAGGGGGAAGTGAGAGGGCACAGTGAGACGAAGGGGGGACTCGTTATAAGCAGACTCGGCTCTTAGTTGCATGTTCAAACCGCACTCGCTAGAGGCCTCACCAGGAGAAGTAGCTCCTGCGGTGCACCCAGTTGCCGACGAATTTGAGCGGAGAGGCCAGATCCAAGGCACTGAACCGCCTCAGTTCCAGGAGGTTCGGGTCCTGCGATTCAACGAAAGTCAACGGGAGTCAACAACAGTCAATTTGGGTTATTTAGCGAATTTGAGCAAAGAGGCCAGACCCAAGGCGCTGAACCGCCTCAGCTCCAGGAGGTCCGGGTCCTGCGGGTCAACGAAAGTCAACGGGTGTGAACGAGAGTCAACAAGAGTCAATGTGGTTCAATGAACGTCGCTGAACTAGTGAGGGTTGGTGAGGGTCAAAAGGGGTTAGTCAGAGTCATCATCGTGACTAGGTCAATACGGGTCAATACGGGTCAATGCGGGTCAATGCGGGTCAATGCGGGTCAATGCGGGTCAATGCAGGTCAATGCGGGTCAACGATGGAAGAACGGGTTAGAGGAGGGCTGTGGGTGGGCAAAACGGTTGGGAGGAAGAGGGGGAGGAGGTAAGAAAGCGGAAGACGGAAAGGAGAACAGAGGAAGGGGAAAGGGGGAGGGGAATGTGGTGAGGGGAAAGGGAAAAGAGGCCACAGACACGTCAGCAGGAATCCGGAGGTGGAAGTTTTTTTGAAGCGCCTCGACAACAGAGCTGATGCCGAATGTCATGCGAATTTCAGCCCACAAATGAAAATGCCAGCTGCAAGCTGCAAGCTGACTTGCTACAAGCTGACCCGCTACAAGCTGCCGCTACAAGCTGACCTGATACAGGCATACCTCGCTTATGACAATCGCCATGGCTTCGAACCCCATGCACGTGGCTTGCACGGGGAAGTAGTCGTTCCGATCGTTCGCCTCCTTGGCCCACTGCGCACGGGAAACGGTTGGAGGAGGTAAACGGTTATTCCAACGGTTTTCAGAGGGTTCCTTTTTCCGTCGGTTATTTCCACGTGGCCTGCACGTGGAAGTAGTCGCCTCGATCGTTCGCCTCCTTGGTCCACTGGAACAGGGGAAAGGGTCGACGGAGTCAACTGATTAAGTCAAATGGTCATTTCAAACGGTCATTGCTGAAACCGAAGGCATTCAAGGCGCCGTCAGGTCAGCCGAGACATTCGTGTGCACCCATCACGGAACCGCCTTAGAAGCGCCGGTGGTTGTACAGTAAGTAATGGAGCAACCACGTTGCAAATGGAACTACTGTACCTTTAGGAGCATTTGCACTGTAGACATAAAGGGCCCCGGCACCAGGTCGGTCCCGCCTCCGGGAATCAGAAGACCGTTGATCATATCGAATTTCTAATCACGGGGATGAGACAGAATGGGATAGCACAACGCGGGAAAACCGGGGAAACCGGAACATTCCGAGTGTAAGCGACTGTACGATATCATAGCTTTAATATTCTTCAGGCCATTCCAGTCAGGCTCGTAAACTACTAGACCGTCGACTTCCACTGATCCCTGTCCGCTCAATCTCGTGTTTGCCGGAGTAACATTGCGAAAGCCAAATTCGCGGAGCTCGCAAGCGCACCTGGCGAAGGATCTCCACGGGTTCGTCGTACAGCAGCGGAACGGGTCGCGCGCCCGCACTCTCCACCCACTTGGCGTACGACGCCGCGATGTACGACACGTTCGTGTCAACTGCCCTGTGCCGCCCGACTTCCGGCCCGCCGTACGGTCCCTCATCGTACGGCGTGTCAGCCGCGTGGTTCGAGTTGACACGTGGCGCCTTCCCGCCATCGCCGTCTCCCGGCTGCGAGAGAATGCCGATTAACGGCTTGTCGTTAATCGCAGGAGGTTTCGTGGACTCGAATCCCGCGTCGGCTTCTGTCGGCTCGTCAAAAGTATCGTCTTCGGCTCTCCAGCCGGTAGGATTACTTATTTCAGCGTCTATGCCAGGGAGGTTCGGTACCGCGCGAAGCTTCGGGACAACGTTCGCTGGAACTGAATAAATATCAGGTTGTGGGATGCTTCGAGCATGGGAATTGGAGACGAGGGAGAGGGGGAGGAGAGTCGCTACGATAAAAACTACCGGAGAGAGCGAGAATGGTGAAGGCTGCGAAGTGGACGCTAAGCGCCGTAGCCCCATTTGGGTTAGGCGCGTTCGAGAATTACCCCCTAAGTACTCGGTGCGCAGTTCTCGGCGCAGTATCCGGGACGCAATGTTGAAGTTTGCCCTGAGATCGTGACGCGAAATGAAGTTCGGACTTCGTAATGCTGTGTGGAACGACGATGGAATCGCGTTCCAGTTACAGTCTTTCTGTTGGCGTCGCACTAAAAGTGGCGGTAGCGAATCTGCTAATGTCGCGTTCGATATCGTGCGAGCCGGCACGCCGTGGCTGGAAAGGGAGGAATGTCGAGACGTACGTGTGCGAGAAACTACTACTAGGGAATTGCTGCAGGCTCGTTGTCGTAGGCAGGTTCGATTGCGTATGGGAATGTGAGAAACACTCAAGTAGGAGGGCGGAGACTGCAGGCAATTGGAAAACCCGCAGGGCGACTGCAGTTTCAGCTCGTGCATTGCGACTAGCTTGTGAGACATCCTTTTGTTGTGCTTCAAAGTATTGAGGTTTGCTGGTTGATTTGCTCACGACGAGTGCACCAGGAAGGGAGGGGAGAGATCGTGCAAGGTATCCACGAAAATCGCCGCTGGTTTGTGTTGGGCGGATGACAAAATACGAATTTCACGAAACACGGAGGTGGCGGGCGCAGTAGGGAGCTGCTGTGTGCGTGGCATGAAAATTTCCATATGTGAAGCTGGGGGGAGGAGAAATGCCCGGAGAAATGTAGGTGCGGCGCGGCCCAATGAACGCGACTCGGCTCATTCCAGGTCATACGACTGCGTCGGAAATCCGGCCAAGTGGAACTGACGATGGAACCAGGTGGCTGGTGAGGACGCACGCTTACGTGGTGAAATATGACTGCCTGTAAAAGTTCAGGATGACGCCAGCAGGCATTAAGGATGCGTCATACCTACGTGGTACTTGCTCCCCACACGCAAGTGAATCATCGAACTTAAGTTTAAGTTTTAAGTTTTACTAATGGTCGTAACCACATACAAAGTTACAGTGCACAAAGCATGACACAGGGTCAAGGCCTAAGAGACCTACACCACACGGTGCTACTTGTCAATCCGAAGATCACACCCAGGCAGACCCCTGAGTGGCACTGTGACAGAAGCGAGCCCAGCTCTAGGGAGGTCGAAACGTTCCATCCAGCAGCCACGCTTGTCTCAGCAACGGATGTACTTCAGGCGAGCCGTTGTGGTCAAAGTTGATTAGTTTGTATACCCTGGCAGCTCTGACGCGATTCTTGGACTTGTTCTTCCGTTTGTCCGACCATCTGCTACGTTTCGTGAAGAAGATTTTACAGGCAGAAAGGAAGAGCGCCAGAATCCGATGGAGAGTTTCAGCCTTGGAGAACGAAGTGTGTTCATAATGATAGGCGCACCGATCACGCCAAAGAGTTACTGCCGCGGCGCCAACCAGCAAACACCATGGGGCAATATGGCTAGCGGGGTGGTTGAAAGGGAAGAAAACGGCTGCCTTCTCCACCCGGACGTTGAGAAGTTGTGAGGCAGAGCGCTGTAGAGCTTCAACAACCGCTGGGGCTTGACCACAGTCGAAGAACATGTGAGGAAGGTCCTCAATTTCCGAAGGGCCGCAGCGGGGGCAGGAGACACCTGTAGCAGAGAACTGAAACCGAGCGGCAGATGGCAGGGTTCTAGTGTATAGTCTGAACAGAACGTCTTTGTGTCGTGATGGTTGGTCTGTGAGAAAGGGATGGCGCACAGAGCCCGAAGAGGAGTGCGAAGCGAGGAATTCCAGCGGTCAAGATGGTTGAGCGGCATTGGCTGATACATTCGGTTCCTGATTTCCGCGAGGGACGGAGAGGAACCCAGAAGGTCGTGATGGGATCCCAATGCAGCACCACCGGAGAAGGGCCCCGCGATCCATCCTTGGACCACCTGTACGGGAATAACTGTGTGGAAGGCCTTGATGCAGCTACCAGATGCTACCTGCTGTACCTTCCTACCCTGCTCCACCCTGAAAATGTCGAACCGAGCGTGGCGATCAGGAAGCACCAGGTTGACCTTGAGCGCGCGGGTAGGCCAATGAATCCCATCGTATTCCAGGACCCAGTCATTGATGGAGAGATAGTCCTGACTAGGGGAAAAGGTGGTGAGAGGGGGCCACCATTCCTCTGGAATGGCTTTGAAGATCTTCATTGCGAGGCTCCGACTGCCAGGGTAAGTAGAGGGGGGATATTTGACATTGATTTCGGCTTTCGTCATACGCCGGGCACCTGCAGGCAAGTGAACAAGGAGATGCCCAAGACGAACTTGTTCGGTGAGCAAAAACTTCTCGTTCTTAAGGCGGCCAAAGGGGAGTCCAGAGCCCTTGCAGATGAGCCTGTTGAAGGCGAGAGGTTCTGCCATCAAAACCCAGGGATCAAGCCGGGGGGGAGATATAATGGCTGGTAATTCAAGAACCGCCGAAAGCTCGGCACGAATCCGAGGGGGGATCTGTTCAGGGAGGAATTTGATAATGGAGGGGTGGGCGAGGAAGCAGTGAAGCCCGTAGGGGAGAGGGGCACACCATTGAGCAATATCCTCATATGGCGATGCCAGAAACCTCCGTGAAGCTCTCTGCACTGACAAGGCTTTGAGTTGAGTTGACGGTTGCATGGCCCCCAAACCGCCATGCTTCTTTTTATTGTACAAGATGCGTTTGGGAATGAGCCGGACAGCCATCCCTTCTTCCTTGTACCGAGAGGAAGAGAGAAAATTCCCTACAAGACGATCCAATTGGGGGGGGACCTTATCCGGCGGAGGTTGAAACCGCCCACCAAAGGAGTACAGGGAGGAAAGTTGCTCAGAAGAGAGCAGAGACCTGCAAGTGGAAGTGGCTTTGATTCTAGCCAGGAATGAGGCAGAAGAATGAATTCGGCCGAGAATATTTTCCCAAGTAGTACTGCCAGGGTTGGCTTGCTCCACATATATCCCAAGGATCCTTTCGGCCTCGTCAGGAGCACGGATCTGGATACTGCCTGCATGCTGAATGGAGGAGGGAGAAGTGTGAATGGGAAGCAGAGAACATTTGCTCCAGTTGGGGTATTCACCGGAGACAGAAGCAAAGGTGTGAAGTGCAGTGATGGCCGATGACAGTTCCTCATCTGAGTTGAGAAAAATCGAAACGTCATCGGCATAGCATCCCATAAGACGTTTCTGTGCATTGCAAAAGGCAAAACCAGGGAGGGACACACTTAAGTATCGTTGCATGACTTCGATGACGCAGACAAAGAGCAGTGGGGCCAAAGGACAGCCCTGCCGAACCCCTGTGCGTACCGGGAAAACAGGTCCGTCAAGGTTGTTGACCGATACACGTGTAGTGGTGTCAGAGTGCAAGATACGGACCCATCTGATGAATCCCTCCGGAAGCCCGAGATGCTGAAGACATGCGTACAGGAAATCTCTGTCGACCATGTCATACGCCTTCCTAATATCCACGGTTAAGACAAGAAGGGACTCCTGTTGAGAGAGCGCCCAGTCCATCAAGTCCAGGGTATCGTTTATGGTATCACCAATCCTCCTACCTTTAATGAAAGCAGATTGAGCGGGGTTAATGATTCGAGGGAGCACTATTTGTAGACGGGAGGCGAGGACATGGGCGATGACTTTGTAGTCCGCATTCATCAGTGTGATTGGCCGCAAATTTTCCACCTGATCCGTGCCACCTTTTTTGGGGATTAGCACGGTTCGGCCGGAGAGCATGGAGGTCGGGGCGAGCCCAGCTTGTGAGATTCCCACACAGAGCTTATGAAAAAGAGGCGTGAAGGTTTTCCGGTGGGATCGAAAAACATCCCCAGGAAGACCGTCCAGACCAGGCGTCTTTCCTTTGGCCAACCGGTTGAGGGCATGCTCTATTTCTGCTAGAGAGAAGGGGTTACCCAGCCGGAGCGAGCAACTCGCTGGAATGGAAGATGGAAAAACATGATCCCAGAAGGAGGTATTACGAGAGATGGCTTGCTCACCACTGTAAAGTTGAGAGAAGTAACTCGTGCAGAGGGAGGACATGGTAGACAGCTCGGAGGTTTGTTCACCTGAGGGAAGGGTGAGATGAGGATCACCGAGTCTTTAATGCGTCTCTGAAGTCCAACCAGAAGCGAGGATATACCCATTTCTCTTGGCCCCTCAACTTTCAACTTCGCTTTCAGGGCGATTTCAGCAGCACGGCTACTGTCATACGCTTCCAGACTCAGTGAAAACTGCTGTAAGCGAGTGGCAGCCGGCTTATCTGACGGATCTCGAATTAGGACCAGCTGAAGCTTGCAGATCTCATCCTGAAGATAGGAGATGGTCTTTTTAACCCGAACACTTTCTTCCTTGCTGTACCACTTCAGATTGTTCCGCAACCTTCCTTTCCACCGATCCCATTCCGCCGGGGAGCAGGAGACGGGAAATGCAGATGCCATCTGTTCTAGGGTCTGCATAGTGAAATGCTTAAAAATGAGATGGTGAGTAAATCTCCAAGGCCTAGGCGCCAAATTCAAGGCACGGAACCTGATCGAAATGGACGGGCACCTAAAATGGTCCGAAATTGAGGACGGAACATGAGGATATATGGAACGATGAATCCGACCCTCCCAAACAGATGAGATATACATCCTGTCTATTCGGGAGGCAGCCGTGGGAGCAGATGGGTTACGAAGACTTGCGGGAGCTCTGAATGAAAAAACAGGATCGGAGAGAGATTGGCTCTGAAAGGAGTCAACAAGAGAATGCGAGAGGAGGAGAGTGCTAAAAAGTTGCGCCTCTGTACGCTCAAAACCATGGAAGTCGCGATTCCTATCGGCCGAGTCAGCCACCGCATTGAAATCTCCTGCTAAAATGGTGCACGAGGAGGCAGTAGGTTGTGAGAGAAAGTGAGAGCCAGTGGAGTCCCACCACGCTTTCCTATCGATATAGTAGTTGGGGGCGTATATGGCCAAAAGCCGAAGTTGTTCATGAAGGAAGTTAAGGTGTACCATAAGACTTCTACCATCCCCAGAGGAGGCCCGGCTTGATATGAAGACCCTACGATTGAAAATGAGAATTGTAATTCCTCCAGGAAGGGTTTGAGAGGGAAGAACCAAGGGGGGAACTTGTGCATAAGCAGAGGGTCTAAATTTATAGATGAGTTTTTTAAAGTTAGAGGTGAGCCTAGTATCAACAAGAATAAGAATGTCGGTAGGGTTCCTGCCCAGCCAGACCCTTAGTGAGTCCATCTTTTCCATGGAGTTGAGCCCATTGGCATTGAGACATCGTATGTTTAGATGTATATCCATGGGACACCAGTTGAAAGAGCCCCTTGTGCTGAGGCCAGCACAAATCCACCGGGGTACAGTAGAGTCCAGAGGGACCTGCATTTAGAGATGTTACTCGAGACCAAGGCCAGGATTGGAGCACCACAAAAGTCCTGTATTACATCGTCACGAGCATACAACAGGGACTGCATCCAGGTGAGACCTGAGATACCGCCACACAACAGTGATGAGGAGATCCCTGCACTTCCTACGCGAGGAAGGCAGCAATGGATGCGTTCCTGTTGAAGTCGTGAGCCTTCATATCGCCGAACCCTTCGATAGGAGTCACACTGCCGGCGACATTCTGGAGCGCAGCAGCGTGTCCGGAGCTGGTAAGGTGATCCATAGCGCTGTCCAGCGCCCATCCGCAGCAAAAACCGCAGAGTCCACAGGTCCAGACCTCCACCTCCACATCGGTGCCGATGAAAATCAGACCGGGATCGGACTTGAAGGACACCACGGCAGGGTGCTCGCCAATGACCCTGGCTGTTAGATTGGGAAAAAGGCAAAGGGGAACCAAGGAAAAATTGAGAAGAACCAAGCCCTTCCGTAAGGAAGGGAGGCCAAGAGAGAAGATGGTCCAGAGCACTAGTTCTGACCCCAGGCAGCCAGAAAGACAAGGAGGATGAAAGATAACAGTGTCTGAAGCGTGAGAAGTGCGCAAAGACAAGGAAACAGGAGCACTGAGAAGATGCAATAAGCAGAGGGAGGTACTGTTAACATGCTGCAGCTGTCCGACAGTGATCGTGAACGGATTACTGATGCGGTTCCTGCGGACCGCAGCAAAGCTGCTGTGGTCCCTCGTACGGTGGTTACTGGGGCAGACAGCGCAGGAGTGGGAAGAGATGTTGACCAGCATGGGTTCCTGGACCTGTGGGATCCAAATGACTGCAGGAACAGCGTCGAAAAGCGGATCGTTCTCGGGGGCGACAGGGACGCCGGCCATCTGCGGGAGATAAGACTCTTCATACGGGTCAAAAACCTTATGAAAATGCAGAAGGTCACCCAACCACCTGGCACCACCCTCGGTGCGACGGCCGACCAGCAGGTTCTTGATGTCCTGCGTGGCGAAGCCGATCGGGATGTTGCGGATCACCAAGACCGGCTCGCCCCGGGCCTTGGCAGCAGTGAACTCAGGGACGGGATCCACGTAAACCTTGATTTCCGCGGTCGGGCCATCAGCAGCACGGTAAGTAATCGGCAGGAGACCACGAAAACGGGCAGCATCGTCCCGCGATGGCCATTGGAACACATGACGAGCGTACGACCGGCAGGGCAGACGCAGCAGTTCACCAGCAGAGGCCTCGAAGGCAGGCACGCGACCACCAGCAAAGTCGCGACCGCGCAACACACTGCGCACGCGCGTGACAATTCGGCTGCGGTGAGACTCCAAGGCTTCCGGAAACAGGATGACGACCACCGACTGTGTGTCACGGGCAAGGTTATTTACAACAACACCGACAGTCTCCCGATTACGACGGAGACGGAGAAAGCGGCCAGTAAGAGTCAAGGCGGGGACCGGAGCTACTTCCTGGGTGGAGTTAGACGTGGAAGGCACAGCATTCGACGGTCCAGCCACTGGGGCCGCAGCAGGAGCAGCCGTCGGCCTCCGGGAAACAGCCGGAGGAGCCACTGGCGCAGAGCTTGATGAGGCGGCAGCACAAACCCTCTTGGTAGGAGGGGGCGCGGAGACAGCAGGGGTCGCAGCCTCCTCGGCGAAGAACGACTCGACCGAGAAGGAGGGATCAAGATCTCCGTCAGCCATGAACTCGTCAGGATTGTGCTGGGGAGCCATTGCGCTTGGTGGTGAGAAAGAGCATGCCTGAGAGGGATCTTTATAGAAGAGCTCGTCCAACAACTCGTCCGGCCAAGGCGAAAATGAAAAACCGAGTCGCCAAGACCATAACAGAGAGAAACCATTGGGAACCAGGAAGTGGCTTTGGCGACGGCCGCAGCACACAAGATAACAGGTTTTTCCAGGTAGGCAGAATGGAGCCGCGAGCACCGCATGGGGAGAAACAGCCAAAGCAAACGTAAGGTAGCAAAAGCCTGGGCTAGACTCCAGCCAGCAGAAAGTGATCCTGACGTGAGAAAGCGCCGCACCAGGCCAAGCAGAGTCACACAGGAGCAGGAGGGGAGCATGCAGAGCGAGGCAAAACCCACTTGACGTGTCGAAACCCCAGCCTAGACGAAACAGTGGACCACCAGGCAAAACGCCGAGCCATGCACTTCCAGACCATCCAGACAACTTGTATGAGGATAACTTCAATTTCCGTGAACGCCGCAGAACCTTCAGGAGAAACACAAAAAAGGCCCAACCAACCAGCCACACGTCAGAGCAAAATGAACTTTCCTTACCTAAGGCAGGCCAACCATTGGGCAGAATAAACCGAGGGAAGACGGTCTCGGTATTGTGGTTGACACGGAGCGGAAGGTGAGTGGTCGAAAGTCCAGCTTCTGAGGAGAGGAAGCGGAGAGAGCCCATCTCGGGGTTTTGCTTTCAATGATGAAGGGTATCGAAGTGAATCATCGAACTCCACATATCCGCCACGGCAGAACGGAACCCTGCCAAAAACCTCGCATACGCGTATCGTTGCACAAACTGTAAGTAGACTCAAAGCTGTGAAAGTGTGGATTGTGAAATGAGAACAACACAAATTTTTCTGGAGTAAAAAAGGACATCTACATATGATAACAGCACTGTTGGGCATTGGAAGGTCTCTGTAATATGAAGTTTTTTGAAAGTGTGTAACACTTTCTAAAAATGTGTATTTTGAAAGCGAAGCTGCTTGTAATGCAGCAATGGCAACCGCGAAGTGCTAGACGCTCTTCGCCAACTATATAGCAGGGGGTGGAGGCCATTTGGCCTCCACCCACGTCTTCATTTGAAATTTCAACTGCATTATTTCATTCTCGTCCGACTACCTGGTGCTTCTCGCTTTCCTCAGTCCCTTACTTTTCTCAAGAAATAGTAGGCAAGCTCGGTTGACCTAGTTTCAAAAATGACCAGCGGGTACACCTTGTCAAATGTTGTAGCCCATAGTGAGGTTTGTCTTAGGGGGTACAAAACTTAGGGTTAGCTATATGTACCCCAACCAACATCAATGCATCATCCATTCTTCATTCTGACATGGTATCAGTTAGGTTAGGATCCTGTGGGATCCCGTTCCTCCGTTCTCCGTTCGAGCCTCCCGAGCCTGATCCTAGCTCTCATTCGTCCCGGTTCCGTTGTTACCGCGCGTAGTGCCGCGCCTAGCGCCACTCCTAGCGTCGCGTCCTGCCCGCCCTTTCCCCCCGTCGCGTCGCGCCCTTTCCCCCCAGTCGAGTCGCGCCCTTTTCCCCCCGTCGCGTCGCGCTCTTTCCCCCCGTCGCGTCGCGCCCTTTCCCCCCGTCGCGTCGCGCCCTTTCCCCCCGTCACGTCGCCCTGCCCCGTCCCGTCGCCCTGCCCCGTCGCGTCGCCCTGCCCCGTCGCGTCGCCCTTCCCCGTCCCGTCGCCCTGCCCCGTCGCGTCGCCCTGCCCCGTCGCGTCGCCCTTCCCCGTCCCGTCGCCCTGCCCCGTCGCGTCGCCCTGCCCCGTCGCATCGCGCCCGCCCTTTCCCCCGTCCCGTCGACCCTACGCCCTGGCCCGTCGCCCTAGCCCGTTCTTCCGCTGCGACTAAGTCCCCCCCCCCCCCACCTGAACCCTAATTTGCCTCTTACCTCCTGCTGTTACTCGCCTGCTCGTTCGCGTTAGTTCTCGCTATGGCGACTCCGCGAGTTCTTCGTTTCGACGCTGACGGTAGACCTCTTGACTTTTCCGTCTGGCTTCTTCGCGCTCGCCGTCTGTTAGAGAGTCAAGTCCAGGGGGGCGAGACCCTCTGGTCGCACGCTACTGGTGACCTCCCCGAGCCCCCCGAGCCTGCCGCTTTAGGTCCTGCCCCTGACGATGCTGCTACGGCTCGCTTTGCCCGTCAGCGCGCTGACAGGACGGCTTGGACGTCGCGTGACGCTGCGGCCTGCATCGCACTCAGCAGCCTCCTCCCTGAGTCAGAGGAGGTCCACTTCACTCAGGTTCGCACCGCTGCTGCGTACCTCACTGCGATTAAGGCCCGCTACTCTACTCCCGCTACTGTCTCTCTTGGCCGTCTTTTCCTCCCGTTCCTGTTTCCTGATCTCGCCTCGTTTGAGCGCTCTGCTGACTTGATCGCTCACCTCCGCTCGCTCGACGCTAGTTACCGCGCTGCTTGCACTGAGGCACAGCTTGCACTGCTTCCTCCCCCTATGGCGATTACTATCTATTTCATCGCCACTAGCCTCCCTGACCGCCTTGCCTCCGTTCGCGACGCGCTTCTGCTGAAGCACCCTAGTGAGCTCACCGTCGATGTCCTTGAGTCTACACTCAAGGACGTCGAGAGCAACCTTCGCTCGGTAGCCGCTGCCTCTGGTGCTGTGCCCCCCCCACTCTTCCACGGGTGCACAGTCCCGCAGTTACCCACCTTTACTGCCTCACTTGCCACTGCCGCTACTGACGCGACTGCAGCTGCTGTTACGACTGCGTCGCGGTCCCGCGGTAGGAGTGGCAAGAAAGGCGGTTCTGGTGGTGGTAGTGGAGGTGGAGGCGGAGGTAGTGGAGGTGGCGTTGCGCCTGGCGGCGGTGGAGGTTCAGGGCCTGGAGAGGCGCCTCGTGCAGTGACTGGTGACTCCACTGCGCCTGCTAGTGGTGGCGACGCCCGAGTTCGTCAGTCGCCTCCTGTACTTCCTGCCCCGGTTGGTGGAGCAGCGGCGTGGTACCAGGCTCAGCGTCAGCAGCAGCTTCTGCAGCACCAGCAGCCCCTCTCCTCCCAGCAGCCTCAGCAGCAGCAGCGGCAGCAGCTGGCTCCAGGGTCGGGGCTGCGTCAGACCCAGCGTGGTGCTGCTTACACTCCCTGCACCTACCAGGTTCTGACAGGCCCTCGTCGTGGCCACCCTTGTGGCCGGTTTCACCCCCCTGGTCAGTGCTTTGCTCAGCTCACTGACACGGTTCGTTTGGTCTACGGGGTTGGTGCTCCTGCCCCTGACTGGCTGCCTCTTGTTCAGCGCTACGGCTCCGCTCTGTGGGGCATGTCTGCTGAGCAGTTAGTTGATCTGATTGGTACTCCCCATGCTATGTATGCTGTTGTTGACTCTAGTGTTTCTGACTCTGCTTACTCTGGTGTTGTTAGCTTAGGTGCTAGCCTTGCTCAGTTGCCTGTTGCTAGTGTAGGTTCTTGTGTAGACTCTAGTCCAGCGGCTACCTCAGAGGACGGTTCGCTGTCGTTCACGCTGGACTCTGGAGCCTCTCACTGCTTCTTTCGTGACAGCACGACACTTACGCCTCTTCCTGCGCCTGTTTCTGTGGCGCTGGCTGATCCCACTTCGGGACCAGTCACCGCGCGTCACACTACCACCTTGCCGTGTCCGGCTGCTCCTTCTGGGTCTCTCACTGGGTTTCACGTCCCCTCGTTCTCCCGGAACTTGGTGGGCGTGCGACCCCTCGTGAGTCAGCACGTGGGTGTGTGGTTTGAGCCTTCTGGAGAGACTGCGGTGTGTGTTGACGGGGACTCTTACCAGCCCCTCGCCACTTTTGCTGCTGAGCCGGGCTCCGGTCTCTACACTCTTCACACTGGCCCGCGCGCTCAGCAGCGACTGCAGCAGCAGCAGCAGCCGCAGCAGCAGCAGCAGCAGCAGCAGCAGCAGCAGCAGCCGCAGCCGCAGCCACAGCGGCCGCCGTCGCAGCAGCCACTCCTCCCAGTTCCTGTCCCTCCCCCTAGTCTCCTCCCTGCGTCTCACCAGGTGGTTCCGTCCCCTCAGGTTGTCGCGTCCAGTCCAGTCGCTGCGTCTTGCTCCTGTCGGTCGCTTGCCCACCCCACCGTTCTGTGGCACCACCGGATGGGACACCCTTCTCTTCCACGTCTGCGTGCTATGTCTAGTCAGCGTCTGGTCTTAGGTCTCCCGCGTGTCTTGCCGTCGCTGCCGCCGTCCCTTGCACCACCGTGCGGTCCTTGCGTCGAGGGTAGGCTGCGTGCCACCCCTCACTCCTCCTCCCTTCGTCCGGCCACCGAGCCTTTTGAGACGCTGCACTTGGACGTCTGGGGCCCCTCTCCTCGCCCTGGCCCTGAGCGTGAGCGTTTCTTTTTGGTGGTCGTTGACGACTACTCCCGCTACACCACAGTGTTCCCCCTGGCGAGGAAGTCTGAGGTGACTTCTACGCTGATCAGGTGGTTGCTTACCACCCAGGACACTCGTGGTCGTCGTGTCAGCTGTCTCCACTCCGACCGCGGGGGCGAGTTTCGCTCCGGCATTCTCGCTGGATTCTGTCGCGAACAGGGCATTCGTCAGTCCTGGACGCTTCCGGAGTCCCCACAGCAGAATGGGGTTGCTGAGCGTCGCATAGGCCTGGTCATGGAGATTGCCCGCACCTCCTTGACTCACGCCCGTGCCCCCCATTTCCTGTGGCCATACGCAGTCAGGTACGCCGCGCACCAGCTGAACCTCTGGCCACGCGTCTCTCGGCCGGAGGCTTCACCGACCAGTCTTTGGACAGGGTCCCCTGGTGTCGCGTCGAGGTTTCGTGTCTGGGGGTGCTTGGCTCTTGTCCGCGACACCTCCGCGGACAAGCTCTCGCCTCGCGCCGTTCCTTGTGTCTTCCTTGGTTTCCCTGAGGACTCCTCTGACTTCACCTTTTACCACCCTCCCTCTCACCGGTTCTTTGACTCCCGTGACGTCCGTTTCGAGGAGTCCACCCCGTACTACGTCAGGTACCCCAGTCGAGGTCTCCCGGTTCCTCCTCCCCCCCTC